ATTGCAAGGTGCCGACCCATTAGTAGTTCAGCGGGGCTCCGGCCAGTCGTTGAGCTGGGGGTGCTGTGCTGTGCTAGGAGGAATGTGGCAAGGCGGTACTCCCAATCCCCTTGCGTCATGCGGCGAAGGGTGTCCTTGGTGGTCCGCACCATGCGTTCTGCTTGGCCATTGGTGGCAGGGTGGAATGGTGCCGAACGGATGTGGCGGATGGCGTTCTGCGCTGTGAAGGTTTGGAATTCTCCTGACGTAAATGCAGTCCCGTTGTCTGAGACGAGAGTGTCAGGGAGCCCGTGGGTTGCAAACAGCCTGCGTAGTACCCGGATGGCTGCGGATGTAGAAGTGGACGGTACCAGTGCGACTTCCAGCCATTTGGTGTAGGAGTCCACCACTATGAAGAATGTTTTCCCCTGAAATGGGCCAGCGAAGTCCACATGCAGGCGTGACCATGGTGCTCGGGCGGACTCCCAGGACTGGACTGGGGGCCCTTGGGGATCTGGGCGGGATTCTTGGCAGGCCTGGCAGTGTTTGACCCAGGCCTCTATCTCTCCGTCGATCCCTGGCCACCACACATAACTCCTGGCAAGGGCCTTCATTCTTACTACCCCTGGGTGTGTCTCGTGTAGGGCTGTGAGGACCCTTTTGCGGAGGGGCTGGGGAACAACGACCCTGCTTCCCCATAACAGGCACCCCTTGTGGGCCGACAGTTCATGTTTGCGGGTTGTGTAGCCAGCGAATTCTGGCCCAGGGCTGCTGCTGGGCCATCCCCTCCACACCCAGTCCAGGACCCGGGAGATGACCCTATCTTTCTTGGAATGGTGTGCAACTTCTTGTGCCTGAATGGGGCGGTCGGGAAGCAGCTCCAGGCTCATAACCTCTTGTGCAGGTGCTGGGTCGGGGCCTGTTTCCGGTAGTGGTAGCCTGCTGAGGGCGTCTGCATGGCCCATTGCCTTCCCCGGGCGGTGAATCAGTGCATACTGGTAGCTGGCAAGGAAAATTGACCACCTGAGGACGCGAGGAGACAGCACTTGGGGGGTCTGCTTTCGGGGGCAAACAAGCCAAGCAATGGCTTGTGGTCAGTCACCACGGTGAAGGGCCGCCCGTACAAGAAATCATGGAATTTTTTTACTCCCTTCACGATTGCCAGACCCTCCTTGTCTATTTGCGAGTAGTTCCGCTCGGTTGCGTTGAGTGTCTGGGAAAAGTATGCCACCGGTACCTCTCTTCCATCCGGGAGTTGGTGTCCCAGGACAGCGCCAATGCCATAGGGCGAGGCGTCGCATGCTAGCACCACCGGCAGCCTCTCGTCGAAGTGTGCCAAGACCGAGTTCGAGACAAGCAAGTCCTTGACTGCCTGGAATGCAGCCTCCTGGCGTTGGCCCCACACCCAAGGGGCCCGCTTGTCCAGGAGTCTGTGTAGGGACTCCGCTACCGCCGCCTTGTGAGGAAGGAAGGAATGGTAAAAGTTCAATAGTCCCAAGAAGGCCTGAAGTTCAGTCTTGCTCTTGGGCGCTGGGGCATCACAAATGGCCCGTACCTTGTCCCCAGTCGGGTGGACCCCTTCTGCGTCCACCATAAATCCCAGAAAGTCCACCTGAGGCACTCCTAGTAGACATTTTTCCCGCTTCACCTTGAGACCCGCCGTCTGGAAACGGTGCAGAACGGTGCGGAGGCGGTCCTCAAACTCCTCTGGTGTGGGCCCGGCAATCAACACATCATCGAAGAAGGGGTGACGCCAGGAATCCCTTTAAGGAGGGAGTCCATTAGATTCTGGAATATGCCTGGTGCCACGCTGACACCGAATTGCAGCCGCTTTACCCTGAACGCTCCTCTGTGCGTCACAATCGTCTGTGCCTCTGCTGTGGCCTCATCTACTGGCAGCTGTTGATATGCTTGGGCCAAGTCCAGCTTGCCAAAAATTTTCGACCCAGCCAGGGTGGCAAGGACATGGCTGACCACTGGCACTGGGTATGCGTGGGCCGTGAGGGCCTTGTTTATGGTACATTTGTAGTCTGCGCAGATGTGGACCGAACCATTAGGCTTGACGGGTGTGACGATTGGGGTTTCCCGGGGGCATTAGGCACCGGCTCCAGCACTCCTTGCTCCACGAGTCGGTCCAATTCCTCGTCTATACGGGGTTTCAAGGCGAACGGGACCCGGCGGGCCTTGAGCCTGACTGGTCGTACTGCGGGGTCAAGCTGTAGCGCAATGGGGGGGCCCGTATACTGTCCCAATTTCCCATCGAAAACCCTGGAAATTCCTTGCATATGGCGTCCACGTCCACTTGTAAGCTAGTGTGGTTCACCCCGGTGACAGCTAGCCCCAGTGGTCCAAACCATGCCAATCCCAGTAAGCTAATGTAGGGGCCCTTGACCACAAGCAAATCCAGTTGCCGCGTCCGCCCTCGGTATTGCACCCTGAAGGTCCCCACCCCCATTGTGGGGACCTTACGTTTCTGGAAGTCCCGTAGGGTGAATGGGGCCGGCCTGAGTTTGGGACCCCCAGTAGGACACAGTTTCCTTAAGGTCCTTGCCGAGATTATGGATAGAGTTGAACCCGTGTCAAGCTCCATGCGGCATGGGGCCCCTCTATCTGTACCTCTATATAAATTTTCTCTACGTTGGGGTGGGGCAACTGGTATACCTGGCAGTCCGTGAGCTCCGTCGAGTTGCCTTGGTGCGTTGGGCCCCGGGACCTGGGGCTCTTGGATTGGTCATCTGATGCCTGGTGTCGGGTGGGCCGAGCCCGACACACCCGGGCGATGTGTCCCGATTTTCTGCACTGCCTGCACTCTGCATTGCGGAAACGGCAGGTCCTCCTCTCGTGACTCTCCCTGCAGCTTGCGCAGTTCCCTCCTTCTCGTCGAGGCAGCTGTGGTCTGTGCGCTGCTTGAGTGCGCTGCTGTACTCGGTGCACCTCCTCCCTGTCGGATCCTGAGTCGTCTGTGAGGTCTTCGTGGTGGACCCTCGGTTGGGATGGCAGGCTCAGCCGTGCCTCTTGCGTCGACCTCTCGGCAGCTTCCATTGCCAGGGCCTCCTCCAGAGCAACCTGGAACGTTAGGTCCTTCTTAGCGTAGAGGCGTCGTTGCAGCTTCTCATCCTTCAGGCCACCGACGAGGCGGTCCCGAAGCATGTTCTCTAGTTCTGAGAAGTTGCAGAACCGGGCGGCTTGGCGGAGAGAGGTCACAAACCCAGTTATGGTTTCCCCAGGGGCTTGCCGCTTTGCGTAGAAGGCATTTCGACGAGCCACCACTGAGGGCTGCGGCGAAAAGTGCCCCTTCAGCTGTTCCATTATTGTTTTGTATGGAACAGTAGCGACGTCTTCAGGCGCAAGGAGAGCCCGGGCGATTTCAAACGTCTCCTCTCCGCAGATGCTGAAGAATATCGCCCTCTTCTTGGCGTCTTCTTCGTCGGTGACCCCTTTGGCTTTTAGGAGGAAGGTGAAACGGGGGCGTACGCTTCCCAGTCTCCAGATGCTGGGTTGAATGGCGAGAAGCTGCTGTTGGCTGCCATTCTGAGTTCCTTGTGTCCCGGAGCTGAAGCCTGGATACACGGTGCGAGGCAGCGGTGCGGCAGGTGGCGGTGCTGCGGTGCTGTGTGTGGCAGTCAGCTCAGCGGGATCCCATCCTCGTCGCCAGTGAAATATACTCAGAGTCGCAAAGTGATTTCATGCTCTTTATTCAGCTCATAGTGGTGAGGAGTAATGAATGAATGTCCCCTCAAAGTATCTGCTTTATATACATTATTTACACAATGGGCTGCACATGATTGGTTAATTCTGGAATTCTACTGTAAGCCAATCAGGTTGTGGATTCACTTATATCTGGAGCATGATTGGGTGGTTCCTGCCAACCAATCATACTGCTGCATTGTTCTTGGACCAATCAGACTGCTGCATTCTGAATCCTATTGTTCTAGGACCAATCAGACTGCTGCAATTTGGATCCTATTGTTCTAGGACTGCTGCAGTTTGGATCCTATTCAACTCAGTACATAACAGTTTTGTTTTGTTTTGTTTTGTTTTGTTTTGTTTTGTTTTTTGACAGCAGGGGTTGGTAATCTTTTTCAGACTGTGGGCTGCATTCCCTTCTGGGCAAACTTCAGGGGCCCACATGCCAGTGGCGGGCAGTTCCAGAAGTAAAATCTGACAGAATAATGGGAATGCAGCCTAGTTTCTACGCACACTCCTCCATCCTCCACAGGCTGGGACGGCCATACGTCCGGATGTATGGCAACCCATGGCCAAAAAAAGCTCTGGATTTTGAAATATGGCAACCCTAACTCTTAGGCAAGTATGTGGCCATGTTAGAGTTCCAGGACACATTTCAGCCGGGCAAAAGCACACAAGTAGGATACAAAGCAGCGTAAGTAAGCGGTATGGGAGCTACCATGCCCTTCTAGCAGAGACACCATCTTGCGCTCAATATTGAGGGTGCCCGTCACACGTGTGATGTCCTGCACCTGGTGCGCATCGCATGTGTCTGATGTCATGCATTGCATTGTCAGGAGGAGACCAAGCACGGCTTCAGTGACCAGCAGCTCCTCCTCTCTCATGCTCAGGAGACCCCACGTAACCTCCCAACTGGTTGTGGCAATAAACTATTATATGAGGTGTACAGTCAACACACAACTTTTGCAGGGGTTGCATTTGGGTGATAGTGTGTAAAGTTTAAATCACATATATTATGGACAGCCCCTTGGGATGCCCCCACCTGGCCATCCTTACCTTCTGGAACCAGCATGCCAAACAGGTCTTAACCCCCCCCCCCATCCTGCCCCCCCCCCCCAAGCTTTTAAAGCTCTCTGCCTTCCTTCCCTTTAATCTGGGCTATTTTAGACAGGGCACAAGCAAAGGGTGGAAAAGAGAAACGTCGTGGGAAATGGGGTGGGAAGTTATTGATAATATAAAAGAAAAACTTATTATGTATTGGAACATGATTTTGAATTTTGGGGGGGGGGGGTAAAAAGGTGAAAGTGTGAGTGAACTAAAGACTTAATTTAATCTAAGTTTGTTATTGGTATGAGCTTTTGTGTGCATGCACATGAAAGCCCATACCAATAACAAACTTAGTTGGTCTCGTAAGGTGCTACTGGAAGGAATTTTTAAAATTTATTTTATCAAAGTAATTGTTGAACTGAAATACAATTAAGAAGAAGTAAATTAATAGTGAAATACAATTAAGAAGAAGTATATGGGCGGGGAGTGGGGCCCTAAGCTATAGCTTGTTTAGCTTATATGTAAATCTGGCACTAGGGACGCGGGTGGCGCTGTGGGTAAAAGCCTCAGCGCCTAGGGCTTGCCGATCGAAAGGTCGGCGGTTCGGATCCCCGCGGCGGGGTGCGCTCCCATTGCTCGGTCCCAGCGCCTGCCAACCTAGCAGTTTGAAAGCACCCCCGGGTGCAAGTAGATAAATAGGGGCCGCTTACTGGCGGGAAGGTAAACGGCGTTTCCGTGTGCTGCGCTGGCTCGCCAGATGCGGCTTTGTCACGCTGGCCACGTGACCCGGAAGTGTCTGCGGACAGCGCTGGCTCCCGGCCTCTTGAGTGAGATGGGCGCACAACCCTAGAGTCTATCAAGACTGGCCCGTACGGGCAGGGGTACCTTTACCTTTACCTTTAAATCTGGCACTGCATGGAGGGAAGGGGACGAAGGGTTCAAAAGAACCTTGTATGTTAATGTTTGAAACGGTTATGTTAAAATGCATGCAATTGTGGAAAACACACACACACACACACACACATATATATATATATATATATATATATATATATATATATGGGAAATTAAAGCATTCTCCTTAACAGGGGTTGTGTGTGCCTGCCTGGCCCCCTTTTTTTATTTTCACAGCAACCCTGTGAGGTGGGCGAGGCTGTGAGATGGTTGTCCCGACACCAAAGTTTTGAAACTACAGAAAACAGCCTTAGAACGTCTGGAGGGGTGTGTGTTTATTTTTCCTAATCAGGGTTGGGGGAGGGAATACTTGTTTTTCCTCCTCCTTTTGAATTTTGCTGTAAATACCAGGGCTATGAAGTGTCCCACCATCATATCAAGAGGGGCACTCTAACCACTAGGCCACAGCTGTCTCACATGAACCTTGGCGCGGACCCTCTGCAGAATGCAAATCCCACCGCCCTGAAAATGCAGGAAGAAAAGGAGAGCGGGCCCCGCTCCAAGGGGCTCTGGCAAGGAGGGGGCGCTGTGGGTTCCCATAGGCGGAATCCGCAATGTCTCCAGCACCATGCAGTTTGGGTGGGGGGTGGGGTGGGAGAGGAGCTGGCTCTTCACGGGTTAAAAGCAGCGATTATATTATGACAGAGGACTTCCTGGGGGGGGGGAGGGAAAGCGTCACTTCCTCCTCCGTTTGTCACATCCTCCTGCATTTGAAAATCTGCGAAGGAGAAGAGTCTGCAGCGCGGAAGACTGTGCCTTCTGCAAGGTAGGCAAAAGAGGGAGATTTTTTTGGGGGGGGAGGGGGCTCCCGCGCCAGAGCAGCTGCTTCGCAGGAGAGAAGCCCTCCGGGAGAGGGCAGTTTTGCAAAGGGGCAGCGGTGGGAGGGCGCATGCGTGGGGTTGCCCCCCCAATTCAGCCCCCCAAGAGCTGCGATGAGTGCAAAAGGCTTTAAGGGGAGCAGGGGCGCCCCAGGAGGAGAGCAGGCGGGGAAGAGGCAGTTTTAGGGTGGACTAGGAAACCCCCCCCCAAAGGAAAGGAGGCAGGATGGCTCTGGGAAGAGGAGGAGGGAGACATTCATGTTTTGGGAAAAGAGGGGGGGAGGGCAGGGTCAGCTGGAAACTCATTTCAACACTACGTGGCATGGGCCCTTTTATCCTCGATGCCTTTCCTGTCTGGGGGGGGGGGTTCAGGAGGAAAGCCCCCAAGGAGGGCGCAGTCTCTCTGTATAGCAGACCAGCCCTAGGAAGGAACCAAGGTGTTGGGAGAGATGGAGGAGGGAAGACTTTAAGGATGGGAAGAGGAGAACCACTGGCCATAAAGTGTCATTGATTTCTCAGCACCAGCAACTGCTGCAGCAGAACTGGGGGCTCCAAGCGCAGTCAGCTGCCTATACAGTCATACCCTTGGCTCCACCTGGGCTACTATTGTCCACACGGACCGGCAGCAATTGCTCTTTCGGGTTTTCAGACGTGGTTTCTCAGCCCTGCCTGGGGACTGCATCTGAGGCTTCCTGCCTGCTGAGAAGATGCTCTGCCCTCGAACTACAGCCCCTTCCCCTCAAGTGGGGGTGCAGGACGAGGAGGAACAGAGGGAGGCAGCCGTGTCACAGCTCCAGGCTGGCAGAAAAGGGAAGGGATGTTTTTAATGGTGGTGGGAAGAAGATCCTCTTTCAGGCATGACTCCACTTTCCTCGCATGGTGGGGTCCAGGAGGAAGGGGCCCCTCTTTTACCATGGAAACTGCAGGTGGGAGCACCACACCTAGGCTGGGTTATCATTTACCAGCAAATCGTATTGGGTGGGAAAATGGCTGCAGGGTCTCTGAGGCTGCCTTTGCTTCTATCTCCCTCCCAGGAACCTGCAGCTTCTGAGCTCCTCAGGAAGGATGGAAGAGACTGGTCCTGCAAACCTAGCGAGGATGGAAGGAGGAAGATGGACGGTTGACCTGGTCAGGCTGCCTCCTGCATCCCTCCCCACAACCTCTGACTGTTCTCTCCCAGGACCCTCAGAGAGATCTGGTGAGTTCCAGGGAATGGAGATGGGGACATGGAGGGATGTTGGCTGTGGGAAAGCAATCTGGCAAAAAAAGGGCCATAGCTCTGGGCTGTGAGAGATAAAAGAAACCACCCTGCTGAGAGCCTGTTTTTTATATGCTTTTAAATTGGGTTTGTTTTTGTTTTTTGGTGTTTTTAACAGTTATAAGGGCATTTTGTGGGGTGTGTCTGGGATGGGAGGAGCAGAGGGAGGCCCAATTTCAGGGGATCTGGGTAGGGGGAGGTATGGTGTGGGAGGAGGGGCAGCCCGGGTAAAGGGCACACAGCACAGGTAGTTAGTGGCTGTACTGTGTGCCAGGCCCGCCCTGCCCCCCATCCTGGGGAATTGTGGTTGTCATATCAGCCAACCCTTGGGTCTGCGACTGCTACTGCTGAATGCCAGGTCCACCCAGAATAAAATCTCCCCCATCCATGATCTGATTATGGATGAGGAAGCTGATCTGGTGTGTATCACTGAAACCTGGGTGGGTGAACAGGGTGGGGTTGGTGTCACCCAGCTGTGCCCACTCAGTGGTCTATAGAGATTCTCTGTCTCCAGGCTCTCTGTCCAGTTCGGGGTGTGTGAATCTAGCGTGTGCGTCTCTGGCGTTGGGCAGTCGGGACAGATTAGGGATTCTACTGGTTTACCACCTGCCTGAGCTGACAGAGCTGGTGTCAGAGGCAGTGTTAGGGACTCCCAGACTGCTAGTTGTGGGAGACTTCAACATCCATGCCGAGGCAGCTGGCTCTGGGGTGGCTCAGGACTTTATGGCTACCATGACAACCATGGGGCTGTCCCAACCTGTCACCGGCCCAACACACATGGCAGACCACACTCTAGACCTTGTTTTCTTGATTGGGCAGGAAGAGGGTGATTTAAAGGTGGGGGACATTGGCATCAATCCCTTGTCATGGTCAGATCACTTCCTGTTGAAATTTAGGATGTCAGCAACTTTTTCCCTCCGCAGAGGCGGGGGACCTGTAAGGAAGGTCTGCTATCAGAGGCTGATGAATCCAGTGGGATTCCAAACAGCTCGGGGGGGGGGGGGGTTGACTCAGGCTATTGACACAATCGCCCCTGAATGCCCTCTCCCACTAGACTGGTAACTGGGAGCGGCCGCTGGGACCATATAACACAGGTCTTAAAGGAACTACATTGACTCCCAGTATGTTTCCAAGTGCAATTCAAAGTGTTGGTGCTGACTTTAAAGCTCTAAACAGCTTGGCCCTGTAGACCCAAAGGAGCATCTCTACCCCCATCGCTCAACCCCAGATGCTGAGGTCCAGCTCCCAGGGTCTTCTTCTGGTTCCCTCACTGCAAGAAGGGAAGTAACAGAGAACCAGACAAAAGGCCTTCTCGGTAGTGGCGCTGTTCCTGTGGAATGCGCTCTCTTCAGGTGTCAAGGAGATAAAGAACAACATAACTTTTAGAAGACAACTGAAGGCAGCCGTGTACCAGGACATTTGTAATGTTTGATGTTTTACTATGTTATAAATATGCTGTAAGCCGCCCAGAGTGACTGCGGAAACCCAGCCAGATGTGCGGGATATGAATATTATTATTATTATTATCATCATCATCAACATGATCAGATGTTGCAGAAATTTCACTAGGATTGTAATTTGGATTACACTTTTAATTGTAATCTTCCCTTAATTTTAGCAGGTGATGAAAACGACAGTCATCATTCTTGGGGCTCATCAGAAAGAACCAAGCATGAAGTCAAAGGAAGGACCTTTCAAGGTAAAGAGGAAACAAGATCACAGATGAAAAATCTAGAAGAAAATGGGAGGAATAAAAGGCCTTCTAACGCAGACTGATAATGGCCATCAAATCCCCGTCCAGAAAAAACATCAGAAGGGAAAGAGAACATATGAGAGACCTTTGTGTGGCAAAACATTCAAAAATAAATCTAGCTTCAACTCACACTGCAGAATCCACACAGAGGAGAAACCATGTAAATGCTTGGTGTGTGGAAAGAACTTCAGTGACAGCTCTGGCCTAAAATCACATGAAAGAATTCATGCAGGACAGGAATCCTATGAATGCCTAGAATGTGGAAAGAGTTTCAGTCATTACTCATACCTTAGAAAGCATCAGAAAGTCCACAGCGAGGAGAAACCACTTAGCTGCTTTGAGTGTGTAAGGAGCTTCATTCACAGAAGAGGCCTTAAATCACATCAAACAATCCACAGCAGGGAGAAACCACATACCTGTTTTGAGTGTGGGAAAAGCTTCACTTACAGCTCACGCCTTGTATCTCATCAAAAAATCCACACAGGAGAGAAGCCATATAAATGTTTGGAGTGCAGAATGAGCTTTGGTTCCAGCTCAAGTCTTACATCGCATCAAATAATTCACACAGGAGAGAAATCTTATAAATGTACAGAGTGCGGAAGGAGCTTTGCTCACAGTGCTAGCCTTACTTCACATAAGAGAACCCACACAGGGGAGAAACCATATAAATGCTTGGAATGTGGGAAGAGCTTCAGTCAGAGTTCACATCTTATTGTGCATGAGCGAATCCATACAGGGGAAAAACCATATAAATGTGAGACATGTGGAAAGAGCTTTAGTAACTGCACATACCTTGTTAGCCACCGCAGAATCCATACAAGAGAGAAGCCATATAAGTGCTTTGAGTGTGGTAAAACCTTCAGCCAGAGTTCAAGCCTTAGTACGCATCGAAAAATTCACAGTGGGGAGAAACTGCATGCATGTATTGAATGTGGAAAGAGGTTCACTACAAGCGTAAAACTTTGAAATCATCAAAGAATTCACACAGGGGAGAAACTGTATACCTGTTTTGAGTGTGGAAAGAGCTTCGCTCATGGTTCAAACCTTTCATCGCATCAAAAAATTCACACAGGGGAGAAACCGTATACCTGTTCTGAGTGTGGAAAAAGCTTTGCTCATGGATCTCACTTTACTTCACATAAGAGAACCCACACAGGGGAGAAACCATATAAATGCTTGGAATGTGGAAAGAGCTTCAGTCAGAGTTCACACCTTACTGTGCATAAGCGAATCCACAGGGAAAAAACCACATAAATGTGAGACATGTGGAAAGAGCTTTAGTAACTGCACATACCTTGTTTGCCATCACAGAATCCATACAGGAGAGAAGCCATATAAGTGCTTTGAGTGCAGAAAGAGCTTCAGCCAGGGTACAAGCCTTACATCACATCAAAAAACTCACAGAGAGGACAAGCTGTATCCATGTTTTGAGTGTGGAAAGAGCTTCACTCACAGATCGAGCCTTAGAGTACATCAAAAAATTCACACAGGGGTGAAACCATATACCTGTTCTGAGTGGAAAAAGCTTTGCTCATGTATCTCACTTTACTTCACTTAAGAGAACCCACACAGAGGAGAAGCCATATAAATGCTTGGAATGTGGAAAGAGCTTCAGAAAGAGTTCACACCTTACTGTGCATGAGCAAATCCATAAAGGAAACAACCAGTTAATTGTTAGACATGTGGAAAGAGTTTCTGTACTAACACAGAACTTACTTATCATCACAGGATCCATACAAGGGAGAAGCCATCTAAGTGCTTTGTGTGTGGAAAAACCTTCAGCCAGAGTTCAAGCCTTAGTACACATCAAAAAATTCTCATTGGGGTGAAACTGCATGCATGTTTTGAATGTGGAAGGAGGTTTACTTGCTACTCTCATCTTGCTCATCAGAAAAAACACAGAGGAGAGAAACCAGACAAATGGTTGGAGTGTGGGAAAAGATTTAGGTGGTGGACACATTTTAATTATCATAAATAAATAAAAAATACAGGGAGGGAAATCACATAAATGTTGGGAGTGTGAAAAGTCTCTTTATATTCCATCAAAGCTTGTATATAATAGAGATACCATAATGACATCACACCAAGTTAGAAGTGCCCATATTTCTTGCTGGTCTTCAAGGAATTCAGAAATGATTAACCCACATGCATGTCCAACACCCACTACTTAGAGGTGGAACGCCCTCCCATCAGATGTCAAGGAAATAAACAACTACCTGACTTTTAGAAGACATCTGAAGGCAGCCCTGTTTAGGGAAGTTTTAAATGTTTGATGTTTTATTGTGTTTTTAATTCTGTTAAGGGTATAAATAAATTTTATTATTATTATTATTATTAGGGCCTTTTCTGGAATTAGGAGGTGTCTCTGTTCAGACTACATGTTCACCCTTAAACCTATGCCCCAAGGTCAATAAAGAAAAAAAATGGGCACCCTAATCTAATGAGTTAAAGGATCCCTTTTGATTCCAAAAGCCTGAAGATCGAGCTGGCGTGACAACTTGGCAACAGACCCACACTAAAAGTAAGGGAAGGAGGAGAAGGGAATACCTGTCTTAAATGAAACGAGATCCAGAGAGCTGTGCCTTTTGCTTGAGAGCTCCCCATCATTAACCTGTGGCACCAAGGCTACAGTACCTCTCCCAGGCATTCCTTGGTCCATCGTCCAGGGAAGCATAAAGCTGGTCCTTGAGAACCATGAAAGGCATAGAGGGGGTCCTTTGGGGGCTTGGCGAGCTGGCAACCACTGAAAACCATTATATACTGTTTGGGGCCAGTGTATTCCAATGGAGAGTGGAGGGGTATTTGGGATGAGTGATTATTGTAGGGATCAGATGGGATTACCATGAGGAATTATAGAATATGCATCAAGCCATCGTGTCCACGATGAAAGCATTGTGTTGACTGGGTTTGATATATTGACGATAATTTCTGATTAAATCCCATAAGATTCTACATCCATGCCCTTTTGACTCTACTGCCCATTCCTCTCTTCCCCACATGTCACGTACATAGAATCATAGAGTTGGAAGAGACCACAAGGGCCATTGAGTCCAACCCCCTGCCAAGCAGGAAACACCATCAGAGCACTCCTGACATATGGTTGTCAAGCCTCTGCTTAAAGACCTCCAAAGAAGGAGACTCCACCACACTCCTTGGCAGCAAATTCCACTGTCGAACAGCTCTTACTGTCAGGAAGTTCTTCCTAATGTTTAGGTGGAATCTTCTTTCTTGTAGTTTGGATCCATTGCTCCGTGTCCGCTTCTCTGGAGCAGCAGAAAACAACCTTCCTCCCTCCTCTATGTGACATCCTTTTATATATTTGAACATCACCTATCATATCATATACAAAGAACACCGAGAGAACAGTGAAAAAACAGGAAACCAGTGTACGTCACATCCAGTCTCCCATTCCCGTGGGAACCCAACAGTAACTCTGACTGTGGAATGCAAAACAATGTCTTGTGACTGCAGTTGCTGCTCAGTGAGGGAAATAGAAACCAACACTGTGAAGCTGAAATGATACATTTGCAGCAGCCGCTTCTTGCTGGCTTCTCTTCTTGCCTCTTACCTTTGCAACAACAACCCTGTGAGGTGGGCTAAGCTGTGAGCAAAATCTGTGAAACTGCACATCCTTGTAGGGGTTGTCTATGTCCTCCCCCCCCCCCCCTTATCTTCTCAGTAACCTTGTGAGGTGGGCATGGTTTCGAGATGGCTGTTCTGGCATTTTGGTTTTGATATTGCAGAAAATAGCCTTAGGAGATCTGGGATGGGGTGTTTATTTCTCTTTACCAGGGATGAGAAAGAATGCTTATTTTTCTTTCTCACGGATGAGAAGGAATTCTTTTGCATTCTGCTGTAACATAACAGGACTATGAAATGTCCCACCTTAATATCAAGAGGGGGCACTCTAACCACTATGCCACAACTATCTCACATGAACCTTGGAGCGGACCCTCAGCAGAATGCAAATCCCACCGCCCTGAAAATGCAGGAAGAAAAAGGGAGCGTGCCCTCCAAGGGAGGGGGGCGCTTTGTGAATTCCCATAGGCAGAAGGCCTTGTCATAATGCAGCAGACAGAAATCAGGAGACTTGTCTGTTTGATTCAGACTGTGATCCAGTTGCTCATTGCCGATGGGCAACTTCAAAGCCCAGCCGACACAGAAGATTAGGAGAAGACACCACTAAGGAAGCTGTATCTCTCTCTAAGGGTCGCAGTTGATCTCTACCAGGAGCCTCACAAACTAGATTTCTCACAGAAATGGGCACTTTCTGCTCCCCCTTGCCCTCTGCAGCAACTGATGTTCAGAGACATCCTGTCAGTCCTATTATCCATCACATCTGTGCTTGGATTTGAAGAAACATTTCCAATTTATATACTAATTTCCTTCCAATCCAGTTCAGCCCCCTCCCTCCCAAGGTCTTCCTTTCAAAACCTCGCCTTCTCTCAGCCACCCTTTCACTGGTTGTCCCGTTTACTCTTTCCACCTCCTGATGGCTCTCCAACTGGACCCTATTTTGGTCAGAGGTGACTTGGCAACTGCACTCCAGGCTCTGGTAACTTCCAGGCTGGGTTACTGCAATGTCTTCTGTTTGGAGCTTCCCTTAAAGGTGACTCAGAAACTTCCATGGGTCCAGATTACGGGCTGGGGTTCCATCCACCTCTGATATAAATCCTAAACTCTTGTTAAACCACTTGGACCACAGAACAGCTTCAGGGTTAGTGGAGAATGTCACATCAGCAGATTCCTTGAGACCATGAGCCCTTCCTTCAGATACACTTGCCTCCCCTCCTTCCTCTCTCCCCATATACACACAAAGGTACACAGGGATTGTTTATTGTGAATTTACTCCTTTAACCATTAACATCTATATTATCTGCATTTTTGTACTTTTTATTATTCTGCACCCTCGTGATTTCTCCCATGTGAAATCTTGTATGAATTCCATGAAGTTTAGCAACAGCGGTCTCATTACGAGCATCTAAATATTTTTCTCCTCTTGATTCACTTCTGCAAAATGAGTCGTTAAAGCTGACCAAATATTTTCCCACACTCCAAGCATGTATATGGTTTATCCCATGTGAGTTCTTTTATGATAAGTAAGGCTATATCCATGTGCAAATCTCTTTCCACACTCAAAACATCTATATGGTTTCTCCCCCGTGTGAATTCTTTGATGTGATGTAAGGCTTGTGCTGTGACTGAAGTTCTTTCCACACTCAAAACAGGTGTATGGTTTCTTCCCTGTGTGAATTCTTTGATGAGATTTAAGGCTTGAGCTTCGAGTGAAGCTCTTTCCACACTCAAAGCACTTATATGGCTTCTCTCCTGTATGGATTCTGCGGTGGCTAACAAGGTATGTGCAGTTACTAAAGCTCATTCCACATGTCACACATTTATATGGTTTTTCCCCTGTATGGATTCGCTCATGCACAGTAAGGTGTGAACTATGACTGAAGCTCTTCCCACACTCAAAGCATTTATATGGTTTCTCCCCTGTGTGGGTTCTCTTATGTGAAGTAAGGTGTGAACTCTGACTGAAGGTCTTTCCACATTCCAAGCATTTATATGGTATCTCCCCTGTGTGGGTTCTCTTATGTGAAGTAAGGCTAACACTGTGAGCAAAGCTCCTTCCGCACTCTGAACATTTATAAGATTTCTCTCCTGTGTGAATTCTGTGGTGCGATATAAGACTTGAGCTGTGAGCGAAGCTCATTCCGCACTCCAAACATTTATATGGCTTCTCCCCTGTGTGGATTTTTTGATGCGATGCAAGGTTTGAGCTTTGACAGAAGGTCTTTCCACAGTCCAAACAGGTATACGGTTTCTCCCCTGTGTGAATTTTTTTATGATCTACAAGGCCTGAGCTGTAAGTGAAGGCCTTTCCACACTCTAGACAGGCATATGGTTTCTCCTCACTGTGGACTTTGTGATGTCTTTTAAGGTATGAATGGCGACTGAAACTCTTTCCACATTCTAGGCATCCATATGATTCCTCTCCTGCATGAATTCTTTCATGTGATTTTAGGCCAGAGCTGTCATTGAAGTTCTTTCCACACACCAAGCATTTACACGGTTTCTCCTCTGTCTGTGAATTGAACCTACATTTACTTCTGAATGTTTTGCCACATAAAGGTCTCTCATTTGTTCTCTTCCCCTTCTGATGTTTTTTCTGGACTGGGATTCGATGGCCGTTATCAGTCTGCATAAGAAGACCATCATTCCTCCCAATCTCTTCTTGCTTTTTATCTTGTGGTCTTGTTTCCTCTTGATCTTGAAAGGTCCTTCCTTTGACTTCATGCTTATTTCTTTCTGATGAGACCCGAGAACAATGACTGTCGTGTTCATCACTGGCTAAAGTTAAGGGAAGATGACAATTAAAAATGTAATCCAAATCACAATCCTAGTGAGACTTTCTGTAACATCTGAATTTTATTATTTATAATAATATTATTATTATATTATTATTATAATATTTTATTATAATATTTTATTAATAATATTTTATTAATTTTATTATTTATACCCTGCCCATCTGGCTGGCTTTCCCCAGCCACGCTGGGCAGCTTACAGCATATATAAAACATCAAACTGCACAATTCACGGCTGCCTTCAGATGTCTTCTAAAGGTTACGTATCACCCTTGACAGCTGAAGGGTGCCACCACTGAGCAGGCCCTCTGCCTGGTTCCCTGTAACTTCACTTCTGGCAATGAGGCAACCAGCAGAAGTCTCTCAGAGTTGGACCTCAGTGTCTGGGGTTAGAGATGCTCCTTCAGGTCTAGAGGATCAAGATTGTTTAGAGCTTTAAAGGTCAGCACCAACACTTTGAATTGTGCTTGGAAACATACTCTGAGCCAATATAGAGCCTTTAAGACCGGTGTTATATGCTCCTGGCAACTGCTCCCAGTCACCAGTTGAGCTGCCGCTTTCTCGAATAATTGTAGTTTCCGAGTCACCTTCAAAGGCAGCCCCACCTACAGTGCATTGTAGCAATCCAAGCGAGAGATAACCAAAGCATGTACCACAGTCTGTGTGCAGGTAGGGTCTCAGCCTGTGCACCAGATGGAGCTGGTAGGCAGCAGCCCCCAAATCCTGGCTATGCCCAAGTCACCATTAGAAAATATTCATTTCCTTTCTTTCTTTCTTTTATCTTTGCTAGCCTGGAGCTCTGGCCCTGCAGCCTTCCTCATTTTCTTGCAAGGGGAGCTTCCTCACTCCCAGCATCCCTCCATGTCCCCATCTCCAACTCACCAGATCCTACTGAGGGTCCTGGGAAGGAACATTGGAAGGCTGTAGGAGACAGCCTGACCAGGTCAACCGTCCATCTTCCTCCTTCCATCCTCGCTTGGACTGAAGAGCTCAGAAGCTGCAGGTTCCTGGGAAGGAGGAATAAGCAAAGGGAGCCTCAGAGGCCCTGCAGGCATTTTCCTGGCCAAGACAATTTGCTGGATGAATGATAACCCAGCCTAGGTGTGGCGCTCCCACTTGCAGTTTCCTGAACCCCACCATGCAAGGAAAGTGGAGTCACGCCTGGAAGAGGATCTTCTTCCCACCACCATTAAAAACATCCCTTTCCTTTTCTGCCAGCCTGGAGCTGTGACACGGCTGCCTCCCTCTGTTCCTGCTCGTCCTGCATCCCCACTTGAGGGGAAGGGGCTGTAGTTCGAGGGCAGAGCATCTCCTCAGCAGGCAGAAAGCCCCAGATGCAGTCCCCAGGCAAGGCTGAGACTCCGTGGCTGGAAACTCCCAGGAGCAACTGCTGCCAGTCAGTGTCAACAATAGTAGCCCAGGTGGAGCAGCTCACTGCACTTGGAGCCCCCAGTTTGCTGCAGCAGTTGCTGGTGGTGAGAAACTAATGACATTTTATGGCCAGTGGTTCTCCTCTTCCCATCCTTAAAGTCTTCCCTCCTCCATCTCTCCCAACACCTTGGTTCCTTCCTAGGGCTCGTCTGCTATACAGAGAGACTGCGCCCTCCTTGGGGGCTTTCCTCCTGAACACACACCCCCCAGACAGGGACGCATCTAAGATAAAAGAGCCCATGCCACACTGGAGCCTTTCCCCCCCCCCAAAAAACTCCCTCTTTTTCCTACCTTGCAAACAATCTCCCTCCCTCCCAGCTTTTCAAATGCAGGAGGATGTGATAAAAGGCGAAGGAAGTGAGGCTTTCCCCCCCTTTCCCCGCAAGTCCTCTGTAGAAGAAGAAGAAGAAGAAGAGTTTGGATTTGATATCCCACTTTATCACTACCCGAAGGAGTCTCAAAGTGGCTAACATTCTCCTTTCCCTTCCTCCCCCACAACAAACACTCAGTGAGGTGATTGGGGCTGAGAGACTTCAAAGAAGTGTGACTGGCCCAAGGTCACCCAGCAGCTGCATGTGGAGGAGCGGAGACGCGAACCCAGATTACGAGTCCACCGCTCTTAACCACTACACCACACTGGCTCTCCTGTAATAATTTAATTGCTGCCTTTAACCCTTGAAGAGCCAGTATCTCTCCCACCCCCACCCAAACTGTATGGTGCTAAGGATATTGCGGATTCTGGCTATGGGGACCCCACAAAGCGCCCCCCTCCTTGCCAGAGTCCCTTGGAGTAATCTGAACAGACCTAAAAGCAACACGCGGCTAATAATGTATTACCAATGATTTGATCAAGCTGTCATATTTACAAATCATAAACATCAACCTATGATACATGCATAGTTATGCAAAAGTTGATATGAAAGGAAATAGTAGGCGTAATCAATCGCTATCAGGGAACACCACAATGGAAGCAAGATGCCTTTTAATAGTCAAAATCCAGCAATATTGCAGTGATAGGTACTCCAAATGTAGGAATACAGTGGTACCTCGGGTTAAGTATTTAATTTGTTCCGGAGGTCCGTTCTTAACCTGAAACTGTTCTTAACCTGAAGCACCACTTTAGCTAATGGGGCCTCCTGCTGCTGCTGCCGCGCCGCCACAGCACAATTTCTGTTCTCATCCTGAAGCAAAGTTCTTAACCTGAAGCACTATTTCTGGGTTAGCGGAGTCTGTAACCTGAAGCGTATGTAACCTGAAGCGTATGTAACCCGAGGTACCACTGTAATTTATTCGAAGCACTGTCAAATGCAGCAGCAAGCAGAAGAAAGCAGTTTTTCTAGGACAGGTGAACTGTTTCAAGGATAATTCTTCATCAGCTGACAATGAAATTGAATACATAATATGAAATTGTAAAACGGAAATTGAAATGACCAACCTGCATATCAATAAACACAAATAAATGAATGACAAATACATACCCAATAAATTGTCCTCTCAGGTAAAAATAATGACTATGGATCAGTTCTCACTAGCAAGTGTAGTAGACTGATACCTACAGCAGAACTCTATTGGAATTTAAAAGGCTATCCACAGGTGTATCAGATCACAGGCAATTTCAGGAAATTTAAAGATACAGTATACAAAATCTAGCATAGCAAACACAAATGGAAGCCACGTGTAAAAATCCTTAAATATAGCAGTTGAAATCTGATTCCGTATTCAAACCTCCTGGGTGGAGGCACTCAGAACAGGAGTGGGACACTCAAATCAGAAGCGTAACAGTCAAAATGGAGCATTTTTGGCTTTCAAAAAAATTCACAAACCAGAACACTTACTTCTGGGTCTGGAGTTTGAATTCCAAGTTGTTTGAGTACTAATGCGTTTGAGAACCAAGGTTCCACTGTACCTTTACTCCTCTATTACATTGTTTGTTTCCTGTGAGTATCTTCTGTTTCCCATTTTTGTTTACCTTTAGTAAACAAGTTGGTAGTTGAAAGGGTGTAACCCTAGTAAAAATTGTTATCCTACTTGTTTCCTGAGTGTATATTTGGTAGCTTCTATTGTCTATGCAATAAAATTTGCTTGAAACACAAGATTGCTGTGCTGATCTTTACATTAAGCATGAGGATGTGAGAATATTTACTCGTAACTTCCTTTTTTAAAAAAAAAGTCCATTATTATAAAGAAACCTTAAAATGCATACAATACAAACATTATATTTTGCGAATAATCATATAAATTACAAAAGAGAAAGAAGAAAAGAAAGAAAACAGAAAAAATAGAAAAAGTAGTAGAAATTAATTTCATTTAAAATAAGGAATAACAAAAATGAAGAACCTTCCAACTCTACCCCTTGTACTATTTTACAATTAAACTTTTTTTAAAACACAGTTTCCTAAAATTATTTACTCATAACTTCCAGGACACATTTAATAATAATAATAATAATAATAATAATAATAATAATAAAGCTAAGAACTAACATCAGGGTCAAAATAGGTCACCTGGGGATCTCTTTTTATATCAAATTCTATATAAATTCACTGCCCTGAGGCCCCCAGAACCGCCCTCAGAACCCCGGGTATAGGGAGGTATATAAATTCATTAAATAAATAAATCAATAAAATTATGTCAACTGTCCCAGTGCCACGATCTATAGAAATAAACAACAGTAAAAAGTTCATCATGGCACCCATCTTTACAGCATCTCCCTCCCAGACAGAAGCAAAACTCACACCGTTGCTTGAATTGCATCTTGGCTCATTAAAAAAAACAACTTAGTTTAGCCCTCCAAGGCCATTGGGGAAGCGTCTTCAGCCAGCTCTTCCTACAACAAGCAAAGGACAACCAGAAGGAGCCAGGAGAAGTCATGTCAGGTGTTGTGTTGGTCATGCATGGCAACCGTGGGGCGATCTCAGTACATCACAGGAGCAACCTGGTTTTTGACACAAAGCAGATTGGTAATATTGTGTTGCTTGGGACCGGGGGTCCATTGTGGATCTTTTCTCATAGACGGACCATTTCCTGGTGACGTTTGCACTGAATGTGGCTATTCTGCTCTTCAAGGGCTTGTTTTTCCCCTTTTATTCCCCCCCCCAATTCATATAGAAATGCTTTAGAATAGGGTTGTGAATATACTAGGATAGAGAGCTGGCTGCACCTGTGATTTTATGCTGCCCCATTTTAATCAATGTGTGCCTCTTTCCAACTTGTGTTTGGAGGCCACGTGATGGTAGACACACACACAAAAAGCAGAAATCTGTTAGGCCACATTCACACCACATATCCAAAGCCCCGTGAAACCACCTAAGATATCTGGGAGCTCTATGTTGGAAATGCAAAGAGAAAGAAGGTACCTTTTATCAAATGTGGTGGATGTGTCCTAAGGTGAAAGACTTCTGGGAAAAGATTTATAATGAGTTGGAAAAAATGTTGAAAAATACATTTGTTAAGAAACCAGAAGCCTTTCTACTTGGAATAATAGGATTGGAATTGCCCAAAAAAGATGTTAGATTGTTTTTGTATGCTACTACAGCGGCAAGATTGCTATTAGCTAAAAATTGGAAATCTCAAGAAATACCAACAGTAGAAGAATGGCAGATGAAGATGTTGGACTGTCTGGAGGTAGCTGACCTGACTGGAAGAATCAGAAAGAAGAGGAGTAGCATGAAGACTGGAAGAAATTTAAAGACTATTTAGCCAAATATTGTAACATAAGATCACTTAAAAATACCAAACAGGCCTAGGATTAAATATGAGGGAATTGTGATAGAATTATGGATTGAGACTATTAAGAAAAGAGAATATACAGTGGTACCTCGCAAGACGAATGCCTCGCAAGATGGAAAACTCGCTAGACGAAAGGGTTTTTGGTTTTTTGAGTTGCTTCGCAAGACGATTTTCCCTATGGGCTTGCTTCGCAAGACGGAAACGTCTTGCAAGTTTGTTTCCTTTTTCTTGAAACCGTTAATACAGTTGCAACTTGACTTCGAGGAGCAACTCATAGCACGCGATGCGGTAGCCTTTTTTGAGGTTTTTGAAGACTTTGGTGATTTTTGAAGCTTTTCCAAAACTTTTCTGACACCGTGCTTCGCAAGACGAAAAAAACCGCAAGACGAAAAAACTCGCGGAACGAATTAATTTCGTCTTGCGAGGCACCACTGTAGTAAAGTGAAGGAGTTAATCTTATTAGAAAGATGATTTTGGAGAGCTATTACAAGGTGAAACTCAGGGGGGAATTCGAGGAAGTCAGTTAACAGTGAAAGATAAATTGTGTTTCACAAATAATATGTGTTTATATTTTTGTTTCTTTTTCTTTTTAGTATTATAATGTGTTTTTCTTTTTTGTGTCTTTTATGCCGTATTTGCTATAAATGTGAAAATTGATAAAATTTTTGGATAAAAAGATTTCTGGGAGCTTGTTTTGCTGGTTAAGGGTGTTGAGAATTGTGACAATAAACTATTGTATGGGGTGCAGAGTTTAACACACAACGTTTGCAGGGTGATAGTGTGCAAAGTCGAAATCACATATAGTCGGGACAGACCCCTGGGAATGCGTCCATCAGACCATCCCTGCCTTCTGGAAACAACAGCTGCATGGCTCTTAGACCCCCGCCCTGCCCCCACCCCACACACTAGTTTTTAAAGCTCTCTGCCCTGTGCAAAAAGAGCTTTAAAACTCTCTGCCTTCTTTGCCTGCAAGTCAATTGTATATATTTTTACTTTTTCAGTGTTTTCTTCCCCCTGTAAAAGATCAGGACTGTGCAGTTTTGCAGTTAAGCGATTGTGATGGAGCAGGGTGAGCGTCGCACCTGTTTTGTGTCTCTGCTGGGTCTGTGAAGCTGAAATACATTTGCACCAGCCGCTTCTTGCTGGCTTCTCTTCTCGCCTCTTACCTTTGCAACAACAACCCTGTGAGGTGGGCTAAGCTGTGAGCAAAATCTGTGAAACTGCACATCCTTATAGGCTTTGTTTGTGCCCTGCCAACCTCCCCCCCCCTTTTTTTATCTTCTCAGTAACTTTGTGAGGTGGGTATGGCTTCGACATGGTTATGAAAAGGCATTATGGTTTTGAAAATGCAGAAAATAGCCTTAGGAGATCTGGGATGGGGTGCTTATTTTTCTTCCTCAGGGATGAGAAGGAATTCTTTTGCATTCTGCTGTAACATAATAGGGCTATGAAATGTCCCACCTTCATATCAAGAGGGGGCACTCCAACCACTAGGCCACAGCTGTCTCACATGAACCTTGGAGCGGACCCTCAGCAGAATGCAAATCCCACCGCCCTGAAAATGCAGGAAGAAAAGGAGAGCGGGCCCCCCTCCAAGGGGCTCTGGCAAGGAGGGGGCGCTTTGTGGGTTCCCATAGGCGGAATCCGCAATATCCCCAGCACTATACAGTTTGGGTGGTGGCGGGGGGGGGGGAGAGAGAGAGAGAGAGAGAGAGAGGGAGAGACTGGCTCTTCAAGGGTTAAAGGCAGCGATTATATTATGACAGAGGACTTCCTGGGGGAGAGGGAAGCGTCACTTCCTCCTCCGTTTGTCACATTTGAACAGCTGCGAGGGAGGAGATTCTGCAGCGGGGAAGACTGTGCCTTTTGCAAGGTAGGAAAAGAGGGATATATTGGGGGGGGGAGGGGGCTCCCGAGCCAGAGCAGCTGCTTTGCAGGAGAGAAGCCCTCCGGGAGAGGAGCATGCACGGGGTTGCACCCCACAAATAGGCCCCCAAAGAGCTGTGGGGAGAGCAAAGGACCTCGAGGGCTGCAGGGGCGCCCCAGGAGGAGAGCAAGGCAAGAAGGCGAGGCGGGGGGGAGAGGGAGTTTTAGGGTGGGGTAGGAACCCCCCCCCCAAAGGAAAGGGGGCAGGATGGCTCTGGGGAGAGGAGGACGGAGGCATGGATGTTTTGGAGAAAGAGGGGTCAATGCTGGGTAGAGAGGGCAGGATTAGACCAAGGGGGGTTCTTGGGTTGGGGGCTTTCTGCCTGCTGAGGAGATGCTCCGCTCTTGAGCTACAGCCCCTTCCCTTAAAGGGGGGGGGGGCAGCCGTGTTACAGCTCCAGGCTGGCAGACAGGAAAAGAAGCCAGGAAAGGAAAGGAATGTTTTGAAAGTTGGTGGGAAGAAGATCCTCTTTCAGGCGTGACTCCACTTTCCTCACATGGTGGGGTTCAGGAGTGGGGACTCTCCTCTTTTATCATGGAGGCTGTAAGTCGGAGCTCCAAACCTAGGCAGGCTTATCTTTCACCAACAAAATACGATGGGTGGGAAAATACCTGCAGGGCCTCTGAGGCTGCCTTTGTTTCTATCTCCAGTGTGGTGTAGTGGTTAAGAGCGGTGGACTCGTAATCTGGGGAACCGGGTTCGCGTCTCCGCTCCTCCACATGCAGCTGCTGGGTGACCTTGGGCTAGTCACACTTCTCTGAAGTCTCTCAGCCCCACTCACCTCACAGAGTGTTTGTTGTGGGGGAGGAGGGGAAAGGAGAATGTTAGCCGCTTTGAGACTCCTTCGGGTAGTGATAAAGCGGGATATCAAATCCAAACTCCTCTTCTTCTTCTTCTCCCTCCCTCCCTCCCTCCCTCGAACCTGCAGTTTCTGAGATCTTCAATCCAAGAGAGGATGGAAGGAGGAAGATGGACGGTTGACCTGGTCCGGCTGTCTCCTGCATCCCTCCCCACAACCTTTGAATGTTCCCTCCCAGGACCCTCAGAGACATCTGGTGAGTTGCAGGGAATGGAGATGGGGACATGGAGGGATGCTGGGAGTGAGGAAGCTCCCCTTGCAAGAAAACGAGGAAGGCTGCAGGGCCAGAGCTCCTGGCTGGCAGAGAGTAAAGATAGGCAGGAAAGGAATGTTTTTAATGGTGGTGTGAAGAAGATCTTCTTTTAGGCATGACTCCAGGTTTCTTCTCTGGTGGGTCTCAGGAGAAAGACACCCCACTTTTACCATGGAAACTGTGAGTAGGAGCTCCACACATGGGGAGGCTCCCACAGCCTAGTTGGTAGCCCCACCTTGGACAAAAGATTCCTGCATTGCAGGGGGTTGGACTAGATGGCCCTCATGGTCCCTTCCAACTCTACAATTTTATGGTTCATCCAGGATTGATTTGACCCACTGGGGTGACAATTTGTGTCCATTTTCACAGCATCTCTCCTGCAAGCTTTCTTTGTAGGAGCTTAGATGGGATGTTGAATCAGTCCCACCCCCCACTCAATGGAGCACATCAAAGTCCCACAATCATCTCAGAATTAATAGGCATTCTGGAAATAATATTATAATGTGTTTATTAGAAACAGGGATGCCACCAGGGAGAGTTTGACCTCATTAGAAACCCTTCCTTTGCTTTGTCCCCCTGAAGATGTTGGAGATTAGAACTAAAGAGCAATGCCTATGTTAGGAACTTGGCCCGGGGTGGCCTTCAGCTCTGATCCATTTCTGGCCTGCAGATGTATAAAGGCAGCTCGCTGTGACTTGCCCTGCTCTCAGGCTTGGTTTGCAAAAGAGCCACGAACCCATGACTGTTCCAGCTGCCACCAAAAGGCTTTGTTGGGTGAGGGAAACATCACTGGCCAGTATGGGCCAGTGCCATCTGTCTGATAATGGCAAAGGCGCTCTTGCTCCTCAAGCATAGTAATAAGAGCATAATAAACGTAAAACAGCAGCTCAAAGGGGAACACCTTGATGGGGGCCTGGAGGCTGCCTGGCAGCTGCCGCCATTGGGGGATGAGGGACTGAAAATACTCCTTCTCAGCAAGGCACACAGCTGCATTTTGCAGCAACCAGCCATGAGGGGCTTCCAAGCCTTGCTGAGATTGTAATGGGGATTACACTCTTAATTTGGATCCTCTCTTAGTTTCTGCAGGCGGTGGACAGGACAGCCATTGTTCCCGGGTCTCATCAGAAGCAACCGGGCACGATAAAGGCATTCTTACACAGCCTGATGACAGCCAGCGAATCCCAGTTCAGGAGAAACACCGCCAGGGAGAGAAAACAAATCAGTGCCCATTGTGTGGCAAAGCGTTCAGAAGCAAATCTGCCCTCAACTCACATTGCAGAATCCACACGGAAGAGAAAGCACACAAATGCTTGGAGTGTGGAAAGAGCTTCCGTAAGCATTCACAACTTACTGAACACGAGCGAATCCACACAGGAGAAAAACCGTTCATATGCTCGGAGTGTGGAAAGGGCTTTCATCGTAGCAGCTCCTGCAGTAGACATTATGAAATTCACAGGCCAGGGAAACCCTATAAATGCTTGGAATGTGGAAAAGGTTTCTTTCGCCGCTCACAGCTTATAGTACATCAAAATATTCACACAGGGAAGAAACCATATGCCTGTCTAGAGTGTGGAAAGGCCTTCACTAGCAGCTCAGGCCTTGTAGATCATAAAAAAATTCACACAGGGGAGAAACCGTATACCTGTTTGGACTGTGGAAAGACCTTCTGTCAAAGTTCAAGCCTTGCAAGGCATCAAAAAATCCACACAGGGGAGAAGCCATATAAATGTTTGGAGTGCGGAATGAGCTTCGCTCACAGCTCAAGTCTTACATCGCATCAAAGAATTCACACTGGGGAGAAATCTTATAAATGTTCGGAGTGCGGAAGGAGCTTTGCTCACAGTGTTAGCCTTACTTCACATAAGAGAACCCACACAGGGGAGAAACCATATAAATGCTTGGAATGTGGAAAGAGCTTCAGTCAGGGTTCACACCTTAGTTCACATAAGAGAACTCACACTGGTGAGAAGCCGTATAAATGCTTTGAGTGTGGGAAGAGCTTCAGTCAGAGTTCACAACTTACTGTGCATGAGCGAATCCATACAGGGGAAAAACCATATAAATGTGTGACATGTGGAATGAGCTTTAGTAACTGCACAAACCTTGTTCGCCATCGCAGAATACATTCAGAAGAGAAGCCATATAAGTGCTTTGAGTGTGGAAAGAGCTTCAGTCAGGGTTCACACCTTAGTTCACATAAGAGAACTCACACTGGTGAGAAGCCGTATAAATGCTTTGAGTGTGGGAAGAGCTTCAGTCAGAGTTCACAACTTACTGTGCATGAGCGAATCCATACAGGGGAAAAACCATATAAATGTGTGACATGTGGAATGAGCTTTAGTAACTGCACACACCTTGTTTGCCATCGCAGAATCCATACAGGAGAGAAGCCATATAAGTGCTTTGAGTGTGGAAAGAGCTTCAGCCAGGGTACAAGCCTTCATATACATCAAAAAATTCACAGAGGTGAAAAACCGTATGCATGTTTTGAGTGTGGAAAGAGCTTCACTCAAAGCTCACAGCTTAAATGTCATCAAAGAATTCACACAGGGGTGAAACCATATAGATGTTTTGAGTGTGGAAAGAGATTTGCCTGTAGATCTAGCCTTACTTCTCATAGAAGAACTCACATGGGAGAAACCATATAAATGCTTAGAATGTGGCAAACAGTTCGGTGGCATACATAAATAGTTTTTCCCACACTTTTGGCAAGTCTTGACCTATACTACATAACAAAAAGGCTTCTGGTTTTTTAGCAAAGGTTATCTTAAACATTCTTGACATTTTGTTATAAATCATTTCCTAATAATCTTTTATTACTTTACAATTCCACCACACGTGATAAAACGTACCTTCTTGGGAAAGAAAGGGTTTAATCATTCCTGGAAATCTCCTGGGGTGCGAGGGGGCAGGCTGACCCCCGGTCGCCTCAACGGCTCGCTCCCGCGCAGATCAGCATGGGGGCAGATGGAGGTGTTGAGTCATCACCTTTGCAACCCCCTCGGACTGCCATCAAAAGCAGACGTTCTCCTTATAAGTGGATTTTAATTGGTATTAAATAATGGCGTGCGCTGGAGGATATGTGGACACTAGAACTTTGCACTATCCAGCTGCACGTTACTGGAACTCCCTAAGTTTATGATTTGACAAGCCTCCCCAAATACAAGTTTAAAGAGATACAAGCGTAGATGGTTTGATGTACTGTGTACTTTAATAATTATAATAATTTATTATTTATACTCCGCCCAACTGGCTGGGTTTCCCCAGCCACTCTGGGCAGCTTCCAACAAAACACTAAAATACAGTAACCTATTAAACATTAAAAGCTTCCCTAAACAGGGCTGCCTTCAGATGTCTTCTAAAGGTTTGGTAGTTATTTTTCTCTGACATCTGGTGGGAGGGCGTTCCACAGGGCGGGTGCCACTACTGAGAAGGCCCTCCCTGTAACTTGGCTTCTCGCAGCAAGGGAACCCCCAGACCTTGACATTTAAAAGAAGATTTAAAGCTGTGTGTGGTTTTAAAGGAGTGAAGGTGGGGAGAACACCCCCCCCTACTACTGATGGACTACATGGAACTGGCGGAAATGACTGGCAGAATCCGAGACCAGGGAGAAGAGTCGGTGGAAGAAGATTGGAAAAAATTCAAAGTATACTTACAGAAACATTGTAAAATTAATGAGTGTTAGAAGGATGCTGGAATGAAGTTATATGGTTTTAGTAGAAATGCAAGAAAGAATTAAGTAAAAGCTGATTGATAACGGGTTAAAATGAAAAATTTAAGGTTAGATCGTTAAGATAAATTATAGGGAAAAAATTGAGAAAGATGGGAAGAATTTGCTGAAATAGTGAATTGAACTAGAATGCAAAAAGGGAGGTGTGAGGAGGTCGATGAAACAAGTAAAGGAAAGGTAAAGATATAGAATATTGGATGTGTTTTAGTTTTTTTCCTTTGTTTCCTTTTTGCTGTATTGTATTGTTTTTCTATGTTTTTTTCTTTTTTATTGTTGTCTTTTTTCCTTTTTCTGTAATTTCTAAACTTTTAATAAATATCATTTAAAAAAAAAGAAGGGGAGAACCTTGTTGATTCGACGGATGTTGTTGGGAAACTAGATTATCCCCCCCCCACCGAAAAAAGTGTGTGGAGGTGTTGACAACCTATTTTTAAGAGGAAGGACATTGACTACAACTCCCATCATCCCTAGCTAATAGGATCAGTGGTCAGGGATGATGAGGATTGTAGTCCCAAAAGATCTGGAGGGCCAAGTTTGGCCATGCCTGGTCTAAACAGTAAAAAGCTATCATGGAGGCAAGAGGAATTTCTCAAGGGCACGTGAAAAGCAGTGGAAGGGAATGTGGACCCAGAATGCTTGGAGAGAGAAACCCTTCCCTTCCCAGTCAAAGCAAGAAAATGGTGAATGTTTGAAACTTGTTGATTCGTCCGACCAACGGAAAGGAGAAGACTGTTGTTTATCTGGAAGTGGGATGGAGGGGGAGCTGAGTTGAGGAGGACGAGACTTAATCTTGTGACTTCATTTTTTTTTTTTATAATTGATATTTATTAAATTTTCAAAGGATAACAACAAAAGTTTCCAAAAAAAAAAGAAAAAATAAAAAAGTTTGAAGATACAAAAAACAAAAATAGTACATAAACAAAAAAGAAAAGAAAACCCAGCCGCAAAAAAAAAAAAAAAAGAGAAACAGAAAAACAAAAATATGAAGTCCTTTACAATCTCTATTGACTTCCTTTCTAGGCTTCCTCCTCCTCCCCTCTTTTGTTTCTTAATTTTTAATTTTTACAGCAAATCCTTTCTGTTTTTTCATAGCAATCTGTCATTACGTTTCCTTATTCTATTTTCCCTCTTGTCATATAAAAACTTTAAACCTTTTTACAAATCATTTACCAATCCTTACTTAAGCCATGTAATTTCATTCAACATCCTTCAAACATTTATAAGCATTCCCAATATTAAAAAATAAAAAGGAAAGAATAGTAAGTCAAATTCAGTCCAGTCAGCTTCCAACCTCCCCTCCCCTGGACCCGGGATTGTCAGTCCTTTTAACCTCTTAACCTGGTTGTCTCGTATCCGAGGCCCTCAAGTCTCTTTCTTGCCCCTTTCGCCACTCTTGTTGATGATTCCTTTCCAGTCGTGGATGCTCCAGCAAGAAAATGCTTTTGACCCTTTGCGGCAAGTCCATCCCAAACCCATTGCCCAAGCCAGACAGCAAGTAATACCACTTCAGATTTCCACAAAGCTTGGAGACTTCGGCTACTCCAATCCTCTGATAGCCCATCACCAGACTCGGAAGGTCCAAATAACCATATGGAGGGGTCAATCCATCCCCCATTTCCAAATCTGACCACATTTCATCTTTCCGAATCTGGTTTGTCCCAAGTTCATTTGTCAAGTTCAAAGGCTGATCTTGCCCGTCCAAAGGTCCCTCCATCTCTGAAGCCTCCGTCACTACAGCAGGTTCATATACTTGTATAGCCTTTAACTGAATTTCATTTGTTTGCTGCTGTGCTCTGGTGACTTCCATCATCAAGGTCGTCTCCTGACGCATCTGGTCCAGCTGGGCACTTAGTTTTGAAAAACCTTCCATGAACAATTGTTCAAGCCTTTGTACTAGCATTGTTCTTCAAGGTCAAAAAAAAAAATTCTTTCCCACGACAATAGTCCAATAGTCCTTCTCTTTTAGTCTCTCTGCGTTGCAATTTCACTAAATTCCACTAGATGGAAATTTTTATTTTATTTTTTAAAAGGAATAAAAGCAACAGCAACAATCTTTCTTTTTCCAGAAACACTTTATCCAAAATTCCCCCTTCCAAATTCAAGAGGCAACAGTAGAATCAAAATGTTACCCTTCTTTTAACTAACTGTCAAGCTAGATAAACTTCAGAACGTCAATTCTGACAGCCCGCTCCTGGTTCAGGGCGGTGGAAAATTGCTTTATTTTAAACTCACTTCCGCAGGATTGAAGAGTCCAAATACAACCCCCTTCTTCTCCTGCAGTCGAAGGGGGGGTTCAGAAATCTTAGATGTTGAATTCTAGTTCTCTTAGAATTTAATTTTCAAGCTTTAATATATTTTGTCTTTGCTTTCTTCACATAACAAAAGAACGGAAGGCGACTTCCTGTTTAGACCTTCCCATTCCGAGTCCCAATTAAGTTCAATTTCAAGTCCAATATTATTTGTTTTTTCACCAGTCTTAAAAGTGGTTCAGCTCTTCCAAGATCAGGTACTCACGGATAGATATTTTAGATGCCAAATTGTCCAGGAAAAAGGCAGCGCTCTCCGATAACGGCAGTGCGGCTTTGCTGCACGGAGGAAGCAGACGACTCACAGCACCACGCACCTCCCACTCCGGAGCCCGTTACCGAGCTCCTGTACAAGGGGAGAGAGCGCTCTCGGTGCCCGCCGAGTCCCACGTCCACAGGCTTCTTCCGCCTGTGGTTTTTGCGGGTCCCCGCTGCGCCGTAGCGGCAGGACCCAAGCCTCCGTGCAGCGGGTTCCCTTCAGTCCGAAGGGAATTCCGCCATTTTCCGGAGGCGCCACCCCGGAAGTCCTTAATCTTGTGACTTCAGTTCCGCTGGAACGACAACATTGGGAGAAAAATGCAGCCCAAAGTTGCGGTAGGAAAAACATCAGAAGCAGGGATATGCCCATTTTGACTCTCCTGCACCCTAACTGCATAACTTAGCAATTATAAAATATAGACACGCTTTTATTCCCGCAAAATTGAATATACTGCCTTCGGTTGTACTTGAGGGACGATTCCAACAAATTCCACACGAAAAACGGTTATGTCCCTGTGGAGATGGCAGTACAAAATCAGTGGCGCATGTCCTTCTGGTTTACGCTCTTTATAAAGATTTGAAGAGTGAGGTTATCACCCCTATTTTATTGTCCATTCCGCGTCTGCCAGCCACTGTCACAGTGTCCTTTCTCTCAGCAGACCAAGATGAGCAGGTGACAGCAAAGTTTGCAAGCTTTTTAGCTGGGGCAATTAGATTAAGATCCACCATTTGACTATTGATTCAAAACCCCAAAATGTATTTTATATAATTGACTTTTTATCTTTATTCTTTGTATATCGTACTGTTTGTTTTATTGCTATGGTCGGTGGCTGATACAAATAAAGATTCATTCATTCAGCAGCAGCAGAGATATAAAGCCAATGAAGTTAAAACTGGATTTATTAAACACACAGAGATTGAAAATAAAAGATTTTTTGTTCCTCACTCAATGTTTTTTGAAAGGTTAAATAATAAAATAAATAGAAACCATTGAGTGCAGCTGTTGACTAAGTGATAAATTTGTAAAATGGAATGTAATCAGAAGTAAATAAGAATATGGATCACAGTACAGTGGTGCCTCAGAAGTTGAACACTTCTATAGTCAAACATTTCAGCTCCCAAATGACAAAAACCCTGAAGTATGTGTTCCAGTTTTTGAACAATTTTCGGAAGCCAAACGTCTTGCAAGGGGACAAGCAGCTTCCAATTGTCTCTTCCGATTGCAAGACCCAATCAGAAGTCAAATGTTTCGGAAGTCGAATGTCCTTCCAGAACGGATTGCTTCTGAGGTACCACTAATATTAGATCACAATGATCCATCAAGTACGGCCTGCAGGAAACCACTTAAACAAAATTGTAGCTATTTGGAAATAATTTGTACAATTGGGTTAAAAGTGGAGGTGGGGGGAATGATTGGGGGGGGGGGAATGTTCAGAAAATGCCAGCAGCCAATTTGCACTCTGAGTGACAGTTAATAGGTAGATGGACCACCTCAGTCGTAATTAGTGCCAGTCTCAAAAATAATTAAAAGAAGGGAGGTTTTGCTCACCTGATGCCCTAAGGGCTAACCTTAAGAGCTAGTATGCTGTGTTTGGGCCTCATAGCAGTTCCTCTCTCTGAGGTTAATCCTGTTTAATCTCTCTATCTTCAAAGGGAGAGTGTGATACGAGGATTCGGCCTTTGCTATCCTAAATCACCGCATAATTATCTTTGTCGTGCTGGCAGCTGTTTGATAGTCACCTATTCTCCTTTGTCTAGATTAGTGCTTTATTGTATTATGAACTGCCTTAATAAAATCCTATACATTAAAAAGTTATGTAAAAATTACGCTATTTTCTGCTTTTTTTGACATTTATCTTCCTTTGAAATTACATAATTAATCTGATAATTGATCACGCTCGTTTTTGCCTTGGCTGGCAGTGAGATAAGCAACGTAGGTTTAAGTGGAAGCCAAGCTATAGAGGAACAGAAAAAGGCTCTGGTTACAATGGAAACAGGGCAGCATGGAAATTATTGTCTAGTACAAATTTATGAGCACAGATGCAAATTTAGAAGCTATTACTATGATTTAAATAAAAATATATGTGCTTCCTTTAAACCATGGGTTTGCAAACTAAGCACCAGATCTGGCCCAATTGCCTTCTAAATCCAGCCCGCGGATATTCCAGGAATCAGCGTGTTTTTACATGAGTAGAATGTGTGCTTTTATTTAAAATGCATCTCTGGGTTATTTGTGGGGCATTTTAATTCATTCATATATTTTTCCAAAATATAGTCTGTTAAGGAAAAATCTAGGTGTGAGGCTGCTCAGTCACCCAGCTCATCAGGCAGAGCCCGCGGGTCCCTGCGGAATAAAGGAAGGATTCCAACCACCAACCGGAGCAAATACCATATTTTTTGCTCTATAAGACTCACTTTTTCCCTCCTAAAATGTAAGGGGAAATGTGTGTGCGTCTTATGGAGCGAATGCCGGCTGCGCAGCTATCACAGAAGCCAGAACAGCAAGAGGGATTGCTGCTTTCATTGCGCAGTGATCCCTCTTACTGTTCTGGCTCCTAAGATTCAGAATATTTTTTTTCTTCTTTTCCTCCTCCAAAAACTATGTGCGTCTTGTGGTCTGGTGCGTCTTATAGAGCGAAAAATACGGTAGCTGTAGACCAAAGTTTATTGTGCAATAGGTTCAAAGAGCAAATTTTGAACCCTGAGGATGGGGTGACAAAGACTTTTAAAACTTTCCCACCATATCCCAGAATACAGTTCGTACAGCATCATTGCTACATCATTGCTACATCACTGACATGTCACAAAAGGGGAGAGGTTAACCTTGGCAAACATGTCCAGACAAGTCCTTGGTACAAGATTAGCATAAGCAGACATGGCAGGGCAAGACTCAGGTATAAGATTAGCATAGACAAATATGTCTTAAGTACCCACCACCCAAAAGTACAATAGAAGTTCCTTTGCATGTCTGGAGCCTGAGGCGAGTCAGGTGATGAGATTTGGCTTCCCTTGGCTAACAAGGAGCCCAGCAATTATCACCTCTGGGAACTTCCTGGGGTCCCTTTTCAAGGGGAAAATAGCTTTGGAATGGAGGAAACTGGGAAAGGAGATGATTTTATATTATTTTTAAAGCTAGGTGACTTCCCTGAGCTGTCAAGTTGAAAGGATATATTCAGGCATAATATTTGTAATATGTAACTTTAAAGATGTGCCCCCCCCCCGTAATTTCCATAACAGTCCGGCCCCCCACAATGTCTGAGGGACAGTGGACCTGCCCCCTGCTGAAAAAGTTTGCTGACCGCTGCTAAACAGTTGAAGAAAGTTTTCTTTTAACTAGCTTTTCAAGCCAGATGGAAATGTATCTAATTTAGATGTTCTTTTTCCCTACTGAATTTGATATCATATGTGGCTGCTTTGCATTATTTTTTTTAAAAAAACGTTATCATGTTTCACCGTATTGTAAATTGCCCTGTGGTGAGATATTCGTGTTTAAATATAAATAAATAAATGGGTGAATATACAGTGGGTCTCATCATAATGCAGCAGACAGAAATCAGGAGACTTGTCTGTTTGATTCAGACTGTGATCCAGTTGCTCATTGCTGATGGGCAACTTCAAAGCCCAGCAGACACAGAAGATTAGGAGAAGACACCACTGAGGAAGCTGTATCTCTCTCTAAGGGTTGCAGTTGAGCCTCACAAACTACCAGGAGCCTCACAAACTAGATTTCTCACAGAAATGGGCACTTTCTGCTCCCCCTCGCCCTCTGCAGCAACTGATGTTCAGAGACACCCCGTCAGTCCTATTATCCATCACATCTGTGCTTCGATTTGAAGAAACATTTCCATTTTATATACTTATTTCCTTCCAATCCAGTTCAGCCCCCTCCCTCCCAAGGTCTTCCTTCCAAAACCTCGCCTTCTCTCAGCCACCCTTTCACTGGTTGTCCCGTTTACTCTTTCCACCTCCTGATGGCTCTCCAACTGGACCCTATTTTGGACAGAGGTGACTTGGCAACTGCACTCCAGGCTCTGGTAACTTCCAGGCTGGGTTACTGCAATGTCTTCTGTTTGGAGCTTCCCTTAAAGGTGACTCAGAAACTTCCATGGGTCCAGATTACGGGCTGGGGCTCCATCCACCTCTGATATAAATCCTAAACCCTTGTTAAACCACTTGGACCACAGAACAGCTTCTGGGTTAGTGGTGAATGTCACATCAGCAGATTCCTTGAGACCATGAGCCCTTCCTTCAGATACACTTGCCTCCCCTCCTTCCTCTCTCCCCATATACACACAAAGGTACACGGGGATTGTTTATTGTGAATTTAGTCCTGTAACCATTAACATTATCTGCATTTATGTACTTTTTATTATTCTGCAGCCTCGTGACAGCAGGTGTATGATTTATCCCATGTGAAATCTTGTATGAATTCCATGAAGTTTAGCAACAGTGGTGCTCTAATTAAACTGCTTTCCTCATTACAAGCATCTAAATATTTTTCTCCTCTTGATTCACTTCTGCAAAATGAGTCGTTAAATCTGACCAAATCTTTTCCCACACTCCAAGCATGTATATGGTTTATCCCATGTGAGTTTTTTTATGAGAGGTAAGGCTAGATCCATGTGCAAATCTCCTTCCACACTCCAAACATTTATATGGTTTCACCCTTGTGTGAATTCTTTGATGAGAATCAAGGCTTGAGCTGTGAGTGAAGCTCTTTCCACATTCAAAACATGCATATGGTTTTTCACCTTTGTGAGTTTTTTGATGTGATGTAAGGCTTGTACCCCGGCTGAAGCTCTTTCCACACTCAAAGCACTTACAGGGCTTCTCTCCTGTATGGATTCTGCGATGGCAAACAAGACATGTGCAATTACTAAAGCTCTTTCCACATGTCACACATTTATATGGTTTTTCCCCTGAATGGATTCGCTCATGCACAGTAAGATGTGAACTCTGAGTAAAGCTCTTCCCACACTCAAATCTTTATAAAGAGTGCAAACCAGAAGGATTTGGTACTGCCATCTCCACAGGGACATAACCATTTTTTGTGTGGAATTTGTTGGAATTGTCCCTCAAGTACAACCGAAGGCAGTAATCTTGCCAAAGTAAATGTGTGTCCATATTTTATAATTGCTAAGTTATGCAGATAGGGTGCAGGAGAGTCAAAATGGGCATATCTCTGCTGCTGATGTTTTTCCTACCGCAACCTTGGGCAGTAGGAATGTTGTGCCAATGTTGTCCTTCCAGTGTGGTTCAGGGCGGACCTGAAGTCACAAGATTAAGTCCTCCTCAACTCAGCTCCCCCTCCATCCCACTTCCAGATAAACAACAGGCCTTTCCTTTCCGTTGGTTGGAAGAATCAACTTTCAAACATTCACCATTTTCTTGCTTCGCCTTAGAAGAGAAGGGTTTTTCTCTCCAAGCATTCGGGGACCACTGCTTTTCACGTGCCCTAGTGAAATTCCTCTCGCCTCCATGGTAGCATTTTGCTGTTTAGCCAATGTCCTTCCTCTTAAAAATAGGTTGTATGTCAACACCTTCTTAAACCCACACTCTTTTTTTGGTGGTCATAGAATCATAGAGTTGGAAGAGACCACAAGGGCCATCGAGTCCAACCCCCTGCCAAGCAGGAAACACCATCAGAGCACTCCTGACATATGGTTGTCAAGCCTCTGCTTAAAGACCTCCAAAGAAGGAGACTCCACCACACTCCTTGGCAGCAAATTCCACTGTCGAACAGCTCTTACTGTCAGGAAGTTCTTCCTAATGTTTAGGTGGAATCTTCTTTCTTGTAGTTTGGATCCATTGCTCCGTGTCCGCTTCTCTGGAGCAGCAGAAAACAACCTTTCTCCCTCCTCTATGTGACATCCTTTTATATATTTGAACATGGCTATCATATCACCCCTTAACCTCCTCCTCTCCAGGCTAAACATGCCCAGCTCCCTTAGCCGTTCCTCATAAGGCATCGTTTCCAGGCCTTTGACCATTTTGGTTGCCCTCCTCTGGACACGTTCCAGTTTGTCAGTGTCCTTCTTGAACTGTGGTGCCCAGAACTGGACACAGTGCTCCAGGTGAGGTCTGACCAGAGCAGAATACAGTGGCACTATTACTTGTGGTGGTGGGGTTAAGCTCTAGTTTCCCAACGACATCGGTCAAAACAACAAGGTTCTCCCCATCTTGACTCCTTTCAAACCACACACAGCTTTAAATCTTATTTTAAATGTCAAAGTACACAGTACATCGAACCATCCACACTTGTAACTCTACAAACTTTGTGTTTGGAGAGGCATGCCAAATCATAAACTTAGGGACTTCCAGTAACATGCAGCTGGATAGTGCAAAGTTCTAGTGTCCACATCTCCTCCAGTGCACGTCATTACTTAATGCCAATTAAAATCCAATTATAAGGAGAACCTCCACTTTTGATGGTGGTCCGAGGGGCTTGCATCATGGCAAAGGCGATGACCCAACTCCTCCATCTGCCCCCATGCTGATCTGCACGGGAGTGAGCTGTTGAGGCGACCGGGGGTCAGCCTGCTCCCTCGTACCCCAGGAGGTTTCCAGGAATGTTTAAACCCTTTTGTTCCCTACCCTTTCATTTGTGCCTCCCTCCAAGGTCGAGAGAGCTGCCGCCATAGTGCAAGACCAGAACCGGAAAATCAAGGTCAAAGAATAATACAAATGTAGTCTTGGAAGGGACCACAAGAATCATCTAGTCCTGGGGTAAAAGTAAAGGTAAAGGGACCCCTGACCGTTAAGTCTAGTCGCATATGACTCTGGGGTTGCAGCACTCATCTCGCTTTACTGGCCAAGGGAGCCAGCCTACAGCTTCCAGGTCATGTGGCCAGCATGACTAAGCCGCTTCTGGCGAACCAGAGCAGTGCATGGAAACGCCGTTTACCTTCCCGCCAGAGCAGTACCTATTTATCTACTTGCACTTTGATGTGCTTTCGAACTGCTAGGTTGGCAGGAGCAGGGACCGAGCAACGGCAGCTCACCCTGTTGCGGCGATTCGAACCGCCGACCTTCTGATAGGAAAGCCCTAGGCTCTGTGGATTAGACCACAGCACCACCCGCGTCCCAGTCCAGGGGTAGTCAACCTTTTTATACTTAACGCCCACTAATGCATCTTTTTTGATGGTAAAATTTCCTTACCGCCCACCAGGACTTGATGGATGGAGGATGCAGAACCCCCTACTGCCCAGTTAGAATCCTGAAATGCCCACTAGTGGGCGGTAGGGACCAGGTCGACAATCCCTGATCTAGTCCAACCCCCTGCAATGCAGGAAAAACAACCAGGAAGTAATTGTAATCTCTGTATTTACGTGGATTTAAATGAAAAAAATGAAAGAAGCTCTCCACACCACTGATTTCACAACAGTGGTGCTCCAATTATTATTATTATTATTTAAATTTTATTATATTTTCCATGCTTATTACAGAACTGGAAAAAAATATTACAAAAAGACAATACCGATAAAGAGTACAAATTAAGAAGGGGGGGAAGGAAAAGATAACTTACACTATCTTTTGTTATTATTAAGATGAAGAATAAGACATAAATTTGAGATTGCAATTTCATGTTACAATAAAAAAAATCTCATTATCATTAAATCCAACCTCCCATTTATTCCTTAGTTCTTTCTACATAACTTTACTGCCATACCAAAATACTATTTTTTATATTATTTTTACACAGTTTAGTAATATTTATATAAGCAATTAATAAAGACTGCTGAGATCACTCAAAAGTAGCTATAGCTTTTAACACGGTATAGTTTTGTTTAAGATATATTCTGAAGGCCTCCCATTTTGATACAAATTCAGCTCTCGGTTTATTTTTTCCTGATAAGCTATCTAATTCAGCATATTCAGTCAATTTTTGAATCTACTCCTGTCTGGAAGGAATTATGTCGCTTTTCCACCTTGATGGCTATAAGGACTCTCGCTGCCACTGTTGCATACAAAAAAAAATACCTTCAATATTTTTTTGAATATCTGAGTCAGTGATCCCCAACAAATGTACCTCTGGCTTTCTATTACAGTGGTACCTCTTGTTACAGACACCTCAGGTTACAGACTCCGCTAACCCAGAAATAGTACCTTGGGTTAAGAACTTTGCTTCAGGATGAGAACAGAAATTGCACGGCGGCAGCGGAAGGCCCCATTAGCTAAAGTGGTACCTCGGGTTAAGAACAATTTCAGGTTAAGAACGGACCTCCAGAACGAATTACAGTGGTGCCCCGCAAGACGAATGCCTCACAAGACGAAAAACTCGCTAGACGAGAGTTTTCCGTTTTTTGAGTCATTCCGCAAGACAAATTTCCCTATGGGCTTGCTTCGCAAGACGAAACGTCTTGCGAGTTTGTTTCCTTTTTCTTAAAGCCGCTAAGCCGTTAATAGCCGCTAAGCCGCTAAGCCGTTAATAGCCGTGCTTCGCAAGACGAAACCGCAAGACGAAGAGACTCGCGGAACGGATTAATTACATCTTGCGAGGCACCACTGTAAGTTCTTAACCCGAGGGACCACTGTAAAGGAAATTCTTAACATTTTTTTCTAATTCTGAATGGATTTCCTCCCAATATTTCTTTCTTTTGCTACATTGCCACCATATAGGATACAGTGAGCCTGTTTGATCTCCACAACAGTAACTTTTGGCTCCTTTGTACATTTTGGCTAATTTCCATGGAGTTAAATACCACCGGTGCTGCATTTAAAAAAAAGCTTTCCCTTATGGCATAGCACGTGGTAAATTTCCAATTATTCTTCCACAGATTTTCCCATTGGGACAATGTTATAACATACCCAAAGTCGTGAGACCACTTTATCATGGCTGATGTAACTTCTTCCTCCTCGACTTCCCAGTGGAGGAGGAGGCGATAAGCTTTAGAGAGAGTTTTACTTTTTGAGTGTATTACATTGGATTCAAATCTTGAGGTTCTTGGTGAACTATTTTTTTCTACTTTAATTTTTTTGAATATTGGATAATATTGGAACCTATCTGTAATAATATCTCTTAATTCCTCAAAACTTTTAACTTTTAGTTGGTTATCTTCTTTTAAAATTATTTTATAAGCAGGCCAATTTCACAACATATTTTTTTTCTTCACCACTGTGGCCTCTGCTGGAGACGCCCACCACGGGATTTTAGGCTCCAACCGATCTTTGTATTTCTCCCAAACTTTAAGAAGTGATCTCCTTATAATAGGATTTGAGAAATCTGTGTATTTTTGCCTTTCCATAAATTCAATAAGCGTGCCAAGCCCAAGGGTTATTATGTCCCTCCAAATCCAATAAACCTATATCTTGCAAATTAGCGGTGCTCTAATTAAACTGCTTTCCTCATTACAAGAATCTAAATACTTCCCCCCTCTTGATTCACTTATGCAAAATGAGTTGTGAAATCTGACCAAATCTTTTCCCACATTCCAAGTATATATATGGTTTATCCCATGTGAGTTCTTTTATGAGAAGTAAGCTTAGATCCCTGTGCAAATCTCTTTCCACACTCCAAACATTTATATGGTTTCTCCCCTGTGTGAGTTCTTTTATGAGAAGTAAGGGCAGATCCCTGTGCAAATCTCTTTCCACACTCCAAACATATATATGGTTTCTCCCCTGTGTGAATTCTTTGATGATATGTAAGGCTTGTGCTGTGACTGAAGTTCTTTCCACACTCAAAACAGGTATATGGTTTCACCCCTGTGTGAATTCTTTGATGACATTTAAGCTGTGAGCTGTGAGTGAAGCTCTTTCCACACTCAAAACATGCATACGGTTTTTCACCTCTGTGAATTTTCTGATGTATACGAAGGCCCGCATCATGCCGGAAGCTCTTTCCACACTCAAAACACTTATATGGCTTCTCTTCTGAATGTATTCTGCGATGGCAAACAAGGTATGTGCAGTTACTAAAGCTCTTTCCACATGTCACACATTTATATGGTTTTTCCCCTGTATGGATTCGCGCATGCACAGTAAGGTGTGAACTCTGAGTAAAGCTCTTCCCACACTCAAAGCATTTATACGGCTTCTCACCAGTATGAGTTCTCTTGTGTGAACTAAGGTGTGAACTCTGGCTGAAGCACTTTCCACATTCCAAGCATTTATATGGTTTGTCCCCTGTGTGGGTTCTCTTATGTGAAGTAAGGCTACCACTGTGAGCAAAGCTCCTTCCGCACTCTGAACATTTATAAGATTTCTCCCCAGTGTGAATTCTTTGATGCAATGTAAGACTTGAGCCGTGAGCGAAGCTCATTCTGCACTCCAAACATTTATACGGCTTCTCCCCTGTGTGAATTCTTTGATGATATACAAGGCTTGAGCTGCTAGTGAAGGCCTTTCCACACTCAAAACAGGTATACGGTTTCTCCCCTGTGTGAATTCTTTGATGATATACAAGGCCTGAGCTGCTAGTGAAGGCCTTTCCACACTCAAAACAGGTATACGGTTTCTCCCCTGTGTGATTTTTTTGATGATCTACAAGGCCTGAGCTGTAAGTGAAGGCCTTTCCACACTCTAGACAGGCATATGGTTTCTCCTCACTGTGGACTTTGTGATGTCTTTTAAGGTATGAATGGCGATTGAAACTCTTTCCACATTCTAGGCATCCATATGATTCCTGTCCTGCATGAATTCTTTCATGTGATTTTAGGCCAGAGCTGTCACTGAAGTTCTTTCCACACACCAAGCATTTACACGGTTTCTCCTCTGTGTGGATTCTGCAGTGTGAATTGAACCTAGATTTACTTTTGAATGTTTTGCCACATAAAGGTCTCTCATTTGTTCTCTTCCCCTTCTGATGTTTTTTCTGGACTGGGATTTGATGGCCGTTATCAGTCTGCATAAGAAGACCATCATTCCTCCCAATCTCTTCTTGCTTTTTCTCTTGTGGTCTTGTTTCCTCTTGATCTTGAAAGGTCCTTCCTTTGACTTCATGCTTATTTCTTTCTGATGAGACCCAAGAACAATGACTGTCGTGTTCATCACCTGCTAAAGTTAAGGGAAGATGACAATTAAAAATGTAATCCAAATCACAATCCTAGTGAGACTTTCTGTAACATCTGATGATGATGGTGGTGATTTTATTATTCATACCCTGCCCATCTGGCTGGGTTTCCCCAGCCACGCTGGGCAGCTTACAGCGTATATAAAACATCAAACTGCCCAATTCACGGCTGCCTTCAGGTGTCTTCTAAAAGTAACATAGTTCTTTATCTCCTTGATAACTGAAGGGTGCCACCACTGAGCAGGCCCACTGCCTGGTTCCCTGTACCTTCACTTCTGGCAATGAGGGAACCAGAGCTGGACCTCAGTGTCTGGGGTTAGAGATGCTCCTTCAGGTCTACAGGGTCAAGACTGTTTAGAGCTTTAAAGGTCATCACCAACACTTTGAACAATGCTCAGAAACAAACTCTGAGCCAATGTAGATCCTTTAAGACCAGTGTTATATGCTCCTGGCAACTGCTTCCAGTCACCAGTTGAGCTGCCGCTTTCTGGATTAATTGTAGTTTCCGAGTCACTTTCAAAGGCAGCACCACCTACAGTGCATTGTAGCAATCCAAGCGGGAGATAATCAAAGCATGTACCACAGTCTGTGTGCAGGTAGGGTCTCAGCCTGTGTACCAGATGGAGCTGGTAGACAGCAGCCCCCAAATCCTGGCTATGCCCAAGTCACCATTAGAAAACATTCATTTCCTGCCTATCTTTAATCTCTGCCAGTCCAGAGCTCTGGCCCTGCAGCCCTCCTTGTTTTCTTGCCAGGGGTCCCCATCTCCATTCCCTGGAACTCACCAGATCTCTCTAAAGGTCCTGGGAGGGAACATTCAAAGGTGGTGGGAGACAGCCTGACCAGGTCAACCGTCCATCTTCCTCCTTCCATCCTCGCTAGGTTTGCAGAATAATAAACAAATAAATAAATAAATAAATAAATAAATAAATTTTTATTTATACTCCACCCTTCCTGGTTCAGAAAACCGGGCTCAATGCAGCTAACAACAAATTTAAAACACTTAATTGATGCAACAAAAAACAGCATAAAATACAGTATAAGGACCCTCGTACCTACGGGACCGCCTCTCCTGGTATGCCCCACAGAGAAACTTACGGTCTTCAAATAAAAACATCTTGAAGGTCCCAGGCCACAGAGAAGTTAGGCTGGCCTCACCTAGAGCCAGGGCTTTTTCGGCTGTGGCTCCGATCTGGTGGAACACTCTGTCACAAGAGACCAGGGCCCTGCAGGACTTGACATCTTTCCGCAGGGCCTGCAAGACAGAGCTGTTCCACCAGGCCTTGGCCAGGGCACAGCCTGACTCCCTCCCTCGGCAATCTTCGCGGAGCTCTGGCCCAATGGTTGCCAGTGGCTTGAATTAATGAATTTTATAATGAATGATTTTAGAGTGTTGTTTATGCTGTACTTTTGTATTGTTTTATTGTTGTTAGCCGCCCTGAGCCCGGCTTCGGCTGGGGAGGGCGGGATATAAATAAAATTTATTATTATTATTATAAAATGTGAATAACAATAAATTCAGAATTCAAAAATCAATTTAGGTGGAAATCCATCCACCTAAACATTAGATGATCACCAGGGCTAGCTGGCTAAATTAGTCCTATTTGGGCCAGCGAGGAGACCAGGGGAGAATTAGCTGTGGGATCCCAGAGCGGGTAATCTTCATAAAAAGGGAAGGTGGAGGGAAGGAAGGGGAATAAAAGATCAGGCTAAGTTCAAATTGAAAGCCAGGTGGAATAGCTCTGTCTTACAGGCCCCGCAGAAGGAAGTTAAATCCTGCAGGGCCCCGGTCTCATGGGACAGAGCATTCCACCAGGTCGGAGCCATCACTAAGAAGGCCCTGGCCCTGGTGGAGGATAATCTGACTTCCTTAGGGCCCAAACTATGATTATTCATGGACCTTAAGGTCTTCTGCGGGGCATACCAGGAGAGGCATACCAGGAGAATCAGACTCTTTCATCCTTCCTGAGGAGCTCAGAAGGCAAAACAAGCGGCATTTTCCTGAGACGGAAAAAGAAGCATAGGAAGTCTCAGCAGCCCTGCAGGGAATTCTCCTGCCCTAGATATTCTCCTGCCGCTGGACATCCCCTCTGCAACAGTCATCAACAGTTTTAAAACATGTTTTTGTGATTCCAAATTAATCTGTCTGCTTCCTCTATCTTTCTTAAGGCCGGCATGGTACGCTCAGTAGTGACCTGAAAGTATATCCTGTTGAACTCAGTGGAGCTTACATATGAGGAAATCTGCAATGGACTGCTGTGCATATTCTCCAACTTCTGACACACAGAAACACATCGGTCCTCTTCCCCTCCCTTCTTCCAATCAAGACTTTCTTGCCTTTTCTCCCCCCTGTGTCTTTTCTGCTCACTTGGGGGGGGGGTTCCCTCTCCCCCCCCCACACCCATCCATCCATTTCTCCTCCCCCCCAACCCCCTGTAACTCAGCTGACCTCCCCCAGCCTCAGATGGTGCTGGAGGTTGGGAGCCCCAGCTCAGCTCATTTCTAGGATCACAGATCCAGCCTCTTTGAAACTATTTTGCAGGACTCAGAAGTTTAAAAAAGCTGCAGGTTCCTGGGAGGGAGGCAGTAGCAAAGGGAGCCTGCAGGGATTTATCTTGCAACAGACTTTCCACTCCCCATCCATGGACTGCTGTGCATATTCTCCCTCTTCTGACACACAGAAACCCATTGGTCCTCTTCCCCTCCCTTATTCCAGTCAAGACCTTCTTACCTTTTCTCCCCCCTGTGTCTTTTCTGCTCACTTGGGGGGGGGTTCCCTCCCCCCCATCCATCCATCCTCCCCCCCCAACCCCCTGTAACTCAGGCAGAAGCAAAGGGAGCCTGCAGGGATTTATCTTGCCACAGAATTTCCTTGTTTCCACTCCCCAAACCTCCATGCCCCCATCTCCATTCCCTGCCACTCACCAGATCTCTCTGAGTGTCCTGGAGGGGAACGGTCAGAGGTTGTGGGAGGCAGCCGGACCAGGTCAACCGTCCATCTTCCCCCTTCCATCCTCGCTAGGTTCGCAGGATCAGCCTCTTTCATCCTTCCTGAGGAGCTCAGAAGCTGCAGGTTACTGGGAGGGAGATAGAAGCAAAGGCAGCCTCAGAGGCCCTGCAGGCATTTTCCCGCCCAAGATATTTTCCTGGTGAATGATAAGCCTGCCTAGGTGTGGAGCTCCCATGATAAAAGAGGAGTGTCCCCCCTCCTGAACCCCACCATGCGAGGAAAATGGAGTCATGCCTGAAAGAGGATCTTCTTCCCACCAACATTCAAAACATTCCTTTTTTGGCTTCCTTCTCTCTCTGCCAGCCTGGAGCTGTGACCTGGCTGCCTCCCTCCATTACACCTCCTCCCCCAACCCCACTTTAGGGGAAGGGGCTGTAGCTCAAGAGCGGAGCATCTCCTCAGCAGGCAGAAAGCCCCCGATCCAAGACCCCCCCCCCTTGGTCTAATCCTGCCCTCCCTACTCGACCCCTTTCTTTCCAAAACATCCATGCCTCCGTCCTCCTCTCCCCAGAGCCATCCTGCCCCCTTTCCTTTGTGGGGTTTCCTACCCCACCCTAAAACCCCCCCCCCCCCCCCCCCCCGCCTCGCCTTCTTGCCTTGCTCTCCTCCTGGGGCGCCCCTGCAGCCCTCGAGGTCCTTTGCCCTCCCCACAGCTCTTTCGGGGCTCAAATGTGGGGTGCAACCCCGTGCATGCTCCTCCCCCTCAGGGCTTCTCCCCTGCAAAGCAGCCGCTCTGGCTCGGGAGCCCCCTCCCCCCCCCCAATATATCCCTCTTTTCCTACCTTGCAAAAGGCACAGTCTTCCGCGCTGCAGAATCTCCTCCCTCGCAGCTTGTCAAATGTGACAAACGGAGGAGGAAGTGACGCTTCCCCCTCCCCCAGGAAGTCCTCTGTCATAATATAATCGCTGCCTTTAACCCTTGAAGAGCCAGAATTCCCCCCACCCCACTCCACCCTCCACCCCAAACTATAAGGTGCTGGGGACTTTGCAGATTCTGCTTCTTTGTACCCCATAAAATAGGGTTGCTACCTTTCTTCTGGCGAAGGGTTGCTACCTTTCTTCTGATGGTGTTCCTGCTTGGCAGGGGGTTGGACTCGATGGCCCTTGTGGTCTCTTCCAACTCTATGATTCTATGATTCTATGAAATACAAGGCGGTTGGGGGTGATTCCTCCCACCCCCCAATTTGTTGCTGACCCGACTTGGAAGCAATCCATTACAATCTGTCGCAGCCCAACACGACGCCCCGTCTTGCATTTCTCTCTCTCATCAACATTCCAACAATTTCCTCCATCGCCTCTCCAACAATTTCATTTGATCAACAGAACTTTCCCTCCGGTTGACAGAAGCGATTCCTTGGATCCCAGCTATGAATGCTGTCAATTTAGCGTGCTTCCTAACCAAGTTGGATTTGTGAAAGTTTTATTTATGGCTGAGTAATACATGCACTTTATGGTAACTGTTGGGCTGATTCTATTTATTTTCTCATCTAATCTTGTTTTCAGTTTATAAAGAGGTTCTTAAATTGTATTCTTACAATTCATTCTGTTCTATTCTAAACAATAGCTCAGCTCTTGCGGAGTTCCTAGCACATGTATGCTTTTATTTAAAAGAAATGTTTCCATTTTATTTACTGCTTTCCAATCCAGCTCAGCCCCTGGCCTCTCAAGATCTTCCCTCCAAAACTTCGAAGGGGCTCCTCTCCACTCCCACTGGTTGCCCCCCATGGCTTTTCTCACCTCTGCAGGTTGGCCAGCTATGCCCCCTTCGGGACAGAGGTGACTTGGCAACTGAACTCCAGCCTCTGGCAAGTTCCAGGCTGAATAATTGCAATGTCTTCTACAGTGGTACCTCAGGTTAAGTACTTAATTCGTTCCAGAGGTCCGTTCTTAACCTGAAACTGTTCTTAACCTGAGGTACCACTTTAGCTAATGGAGCCTCCCACTGCCGCCGCCACATGATTTCTGTTCTCATCCTGAAGCTAAGTTCTTAACCTGAGGTACCATTTCTGACTTAGCAGAGTCTGTAACCAGAAGCGTCTGTAACCTGAGGTACCACTGTATTTTTTTAAAAGGCAGTTTTCTTCACTTTCTTCCTAAAATGGAGCTGTTTACTGCTTTAATTCTGCCCTGTTCCAAAAGGTTCCATTAGAGCTTTCAGGAAAGCTATGAAGAATTTGCATGACTAGAAGTGCGTTAAGATTTTCAAAATGAAAACACTTAGGGGAACTCAATTTCCCCCTTCCCTTTTTTAAAAAAGATAATCCAATATGGTTAAGAATATAGCATTTTTACTTATTCTATAAAGATGGACAGAAGCTGATGGTGTTAATCTGAATTAGTTGGCCTGCTTGTAACTAACAATATGTTGGAATGTTGCTTCAAGGCGTTGCTTCCTCCTGCAGGGGTTTATAAGCGAGGAATTTTATTATTTCTAAGTATGCATGTGTTTTTGTGCATGTGCATTTATAGGTATACCTGATTATATTCCACCTTTCCAGTGAAAGGTAACTACAACAGCACACATGTAACAAAATGTATTACTCTGACCCCCATGATAATGCTCAAATATAATGCTTTAATTCATCTAGAAGTTACAAGGAAAAGGTGGGACACACCTGGAGGAAAGAAGGGAAATGCCTCATTACCAACTACAATCAAATTACCCAACTGCTACAAAACAAAAGCAATGAATCCTGGTCCGCTTTCAATAACTGTTTTGCAGGATCTGACCCAAGGTCCATGGATGGCACCATCTTGTACCCAAGAGCACCAGCCAGAAACCTGCAGGAGTTCAGAAGCAGTACATGATGCTCAGGCCTTTTTCCCCTGCCTTTCCACACAACATGCTTCCTTAGATAAGAGTGTGACCATATTAGGCCATCCTTTGGTCTGTTTTCAAAGATGAGATGAGCAAGAGTGGTGGAGACTGCCACTCCAATAGGCTTCAGAGAAGGGGAAGAGGAAGGGAGTATGGACCTAGAATTGCGGTGGTTTGAGATGGGACACACCGCAGAAGGAAGGAAGGAGCTGGGAAATAGTGGATCAACAGGAGCAAGATAGCAGGTGCTCCAGCCCTGAACAGAGACAGGAGCCTGTTGTGTTAGAAATATCACAGCAGCCAAGCGACACGATGTCGCTAGTATACTGGAGTCCCCTCCTTCCCCTACAACCAGGCGTGCCCTTCATCTCACAGAGCAGAAAGCCAAACAGACACAGAGATTTTCCATTAGCGGCCCCCGTAGACAACAGGAAGGGACTCAAGGCCAGAAAGTAACTGCTGGGGGCAGGAACACTCACTCTAGGCAACAGCTCAGGTTTTTGAGGACATACATTCCATGTTTCTGTGTGTTTTTGTTGATTTAAATGAAAGAAGCAAAAGAAGCTCACAGCACCACTGATTTCACCTGGCGGGCAGCCAGCCCTGTAGTTGACGGCACCTTCGTGACAGCAGGTGTACCATTTCCTCCCATGAGAATTATTGTATGAATTCCATGAAGTTTATTTTTAAATGATATTTATTAAAGTTTCAGATAGAAAGAGACACATCAATAAAAAAAGAATTTAAAAGTAAAAAGAAAAATACACAATATAAAATACAAAAAGAAAAAAAAGAAAAAACAGTTAAAAACAATTCCATCTTTTCATCACTGCTTTTGAATTAACTTATTTTCTGGACCTCCTCATACCTCCCTCTTTTGTATTCCAGTTCAGTTTGTTTGTACAGCAATTCCTTTCCCTCTTTTTTAACCCCAATCCTTAATCTTAATATAATATAATATAACATTAAATTTTTATCTATTAATAGCCAATTTTCCATTCTTTTAACCTTTTTATTCCTAATCCCTAATCTTAATCTGTCTATAACTTTAAAGTCTGTGCAGCTAGAAACCACTTAATTTCAATCCATCATCACTCTAACATTCTTTAATTTTGCAATGTTTCTGTAGGTAATCTTTAAATTTCTTCCAATCTTCTTCCACCGACTCTTCTCCCTGGTAACGGATTCTACCAGTCATTTCCGCCAGTTCCATATAGTCCATCAGTTTCATCTGCCATTCCTCCAGTGTGGGTAACTCTTGTGTCTTCCAATACTTTGCGATGAGTATTCTTGCTGCTGTTGTTGCGTACATAAAGAAAGTTCTATCCTTTTTTAACACCGGTTGGCCGACTATGCCCAGGAGAAAGGCCTCTGGTTTCTTCAAGAAGGTATACTTAAATACCTTTTTTAATTCATTATATATCATTTCCCAGAAAGCCTTAATCTTTGGGCACGTCCACCAAAGGTGAAAGAATGTACCTTCAGTTTCTTTACATTTCCAACATTTATTATCGGGCAAATGGTAAATTTTTGCAAGCTTGACTGAATTCCATGAAGTTTAGCAACAGCGGTGCTCTAATTAAAATGCTTTCCGCATTACAAGCATCTCAATATTTCTTTCCTCTTGATTCGCTTATGCAAAATGAGTTGTGAAATCTGACCAAATCTTTTCCCACACTCCAAGCATATATATGGTTTATCCCATGTGAGTTCTTTTATGAGAAGTAAGGCTATATCCATGTGCAAATCTCTTTCCACAGTCCAAACATTTATATGGTTTCTCCCCTGTGTGAATTCTTTGATGATATGTAAGGCTTGTGCTGTGACTGAAGTTCTTTCCACACTCAAAACAGGTATATGGTTTCACCCCTGTGTGAATTCTTTGATGATATTCAAGGCTTGAGCTTTGAGTGAAGCTCTTTCCACACTCAAAACATGCATACGGTTTTTCACCTCTGTGAATTTTTTGATGTGATGTAAGGCTTGTACCCTGGTTGAAGCTCCTTCCACACTCAAAGCACTTATATGGCTTCTCTCCTGTATGGATTCTGCGATGGCAAACAAGGTATGTGCAGTTACTAAAGCTCTTTCCACATGTCACACATTTATATGGTTTTTCCCCTGTATGGATTCGCTCATGCACAGTAAGGTGTGAACTCTGACTGAAGCTCTTCCCACACTCAAAGCATTTATACGGCTTCTCACCAGTGTGAGTTCTCTTGTGTGAACTAAGGTGTGAACTCTGGCTGAAGCTCTTTCCACATTCCAAGCATTTATATGGTTTGTCCCCTGTGTGGGTTCTCTTATGTGAAGTAAGGCTAGCACTGTGAGCAAAGCTCCTTCCGCACTCTGTACATTTATAAGATTTCTCTCCTGTGTGAATTCTTTGGTGCGATATAAGACTTGAGCTGTGAGCAAAGCTCATTCCGCACTCCAAACATTTATATGGCTTCTCCCCTGTGTGGATTTTTTGATGCGATGCAAGGCTTGAGCTGTGACGGAAGGTCTTTCCACAGTCCAAACAGGTATACGGTTTCTCCCCTGTGTGAAGTTTTTGATGTTCTGTAAGGTTTCTCCTGTAACTGAAGCTCTTTCCACACTCAAAGCACCTATGTGATTTTTCCCTGCTGTGGACTTCCTGATGTATTTTAAGGTGTGAGTGGCGCTTGAAACTCTTTCCACATTCTAGGCATTGGTATGATTCCTGTCCTGCGTGAATTCTTTCATGTGATTTTAGGCCTGAGCTGTCACTGAAGCTCTTTCCACACACCAAGCATTTACACAGTGTTTCCGCTGAGTGGATTCTGCAGTGTGGGCTGAGGCTTGATTTACCTTTGAACGTTTTGCCACACGAAGGGCTATCATTTCTTCTCTTCGCTTCATGCTTATTTCTTTCTGATGAGCCCCGAGAACCATTATTCCCCTGGTCATCACCTGCTAAGATTAAGGGAAAACAGCAAACATTAAAAACTTCCCAATACAGGGCTGCCTTCGGATGTCTTCTAAAAGCTACGTAGTTCTTTATCTCCTTGACATCTGAAGGGAGGGTGTTCCACAGGGCTGGTTCCACTACTTCACTTCTTACTGTGACGAAACCAGCAGAAGACCCTCAGAGTTGGACCTCATTGTCCGGGCAGAACGATGGAGGTGGAGATGCTCCTTCAGGTCTACAGGGCCGAGGCCGTTTAGAGCTTTAAAGGTCAGCACCAACACTTTGAATTGTGCTTGGAAACATACTCTGAGCCAATGTAGATCCTTTAAGACCAGTGTTATATGCTCCTGGCAACTGCTCCCAGTCACCAGTTGAGCTGCTGCTTTCTGGATTAATTGTAGTTTCCGAGTCACCTTCAAAGGCAGCCCCACCTAGAGCGCATTGTAGCAATCCAAGCGGGAGATAGCCATAGCATGTACCACAGTCTGTGTGCAGGTAGGGACTTAGCCTGTGATGGAGCTGGTAGACAACAGCCCCAAAACTCTGACTATGCCCATGTCACCATTAAAAAACATTCATGTCCTTTCTTTCTACCTTTTATCTCTGCTAGCCCGGAGCTCTGGCCCTGCAGCCTTCCTCGTTTTCTTGCCAGGTGGGCTTCCTCAAGCCCAACATTTCCCCAGGTCCCCATCTCCATTCCCTGGAACTCACCAGATCTCTCTGAGGGTCCTGGGAGAGAACAGTCAGAGGTGGTGGGAGACAGCCTGACCAGGTCAACTGTCCATCTTCCCCCTTCCATCCTTGCTAGGTCTGCAGGAGAATAATAATAATAATAATAATAATAATAATTTTTGTATCCTGCCTTCTCCGGCCGAGGCCGGGCCCAGAGTGGCTAGCATCATAAAAACAACACAATATGCATAAAAACAGACATCAATTATATAAAATACATCTTAAAATTAATTCAGACAAGTTAAAATCTAAGCAGTTGGCAATTATCAGGTTGGAATTGAGAGTGGTTAATACTTGCCAGGACCAACTGTTTCCACTGATCATACAAGGTCATGTGAGCAGGTTGGGGGCTTCCTTCGGGCTTGTTTTATACAAAGGAAAGTAAGGCAAACTGCATCCTGCCCAAAGGCCAGGCGGAACAGCTCCGTCTTGCAGGCCCTGCGGAAAGATGTCAAATCCCGCAGGGCCCTGGTCTCTTGTGGGAGAGCGGTCCACCAGGCCGGGGCCACGGCTGAAAAGGCCCTGGCTCTAGTCAAGGCCAGTCTAATTTCCCTGGGGCCCAGGATCTTCAAGGTGGTGGTGTTAGCAGAAAGAGGGTGAAAGAGGATCAGCCTCTTTCATTCTTCCTGAGGAGCTCAGAAGCCTAAACAAGCTGCAGGTTCCTTGGGAGGGAGGGAGGAGTAAAAGGAGCCTCAGAGAAGCTGCAGGGATTCCTCTGCCCTAGATATTCTCCAGCCCCTGCAGAAGCCCAAATGGGGCATATATTACAAATTTATATGCCCCAATCTGGTGGGCTTCTCACAGCCACCCAGTGCGGCTAAGAGCATATATAAAAACAGAACAAAACATCAAACATAAAAAACAGAAATATCCTATACAGGCAACAAACAAACCAATAATAAGAATAGCAACAATAATAACAACATCTTTACAGCTATACCCAAATTAAAATAACCACCGACCCCAACTAAACAATTAACCAACACCAACCCGACAAAAACAAAACAGAGGAACCAAAATCAGAACCGTTTAAAGCATTTTAGCCAGTTGCCCCAACCCAAGAGGTGTTCCAGCAATGTCCCAGTGGCCTCCCAGGAGCCTCTTTTGGCTGTTGAAGGTGAGCCTGGGCTCCACCCCCTTGGCCAGGTGGAATGGGCCTTGCACCCAGGCCTCATGGCATGGGGGGGCACAGTAGTGACCTGAAAGTGGTTCCCATTGAACGCAGTGGTTTTTATATCTATATAGGGCTCCTCTGCCTATTCCTCCTCTTCTGGCAACATATTGGCGCATGCTCCAGGGGATAGACTTTGGAGAAGACCTCTTCCCTGCCTTCCTCCAAGTCAAAACCTTCTTGCATTGTATGTTCTCCTCTCTTTTCTGCTTGCTGGAGGGAGGGGTTCCCTCCAGCCCCCACCCATCCATTTCTCCTTCTCCACCCCCAACCCCCTGAAACTCAGCCAACCTCTCCCAGCCTCAGAGGTGGGGAGCCCCAGCTCAGGTCCTTTCTAGCACCACAAATCCAGCTTCTTTGGAACTATTTGGCAGGACTCAGAAGTTTAAACAAGCTGCAAGTTTTGGGGGGTGAGGGAGAAGCAAAGGCGGCCTCAGAGCCCCTCCAGGGATTTTCTTCCCTGGATATATTGGGAGGGGAAGCCCACCCACAGTTTCCACTGTAAAACCTCCCCCCTTTATCTTATTCCTTGCTTCCACTCTCCATCCCTCCAAGTCCCTATCTCCACTCCCCTGGAACTCACCAGATGTCTCTGAGGGTCCTGGGAGGCAACGCTCAGAGGTTGCTTGGAGGGAGGCAGGAGACAGCCTGACCAGGTCAACCGTCCATCTTCCTCCTTCCATCCTCGCTTGGATTGAAGAGCTCAGAAGTTCCTGAAGAAGCAAAGGCAACCTCAGAGGCCCTGCAGTCAGTTTCCTGCCCAAGACATTTTCCTGGTGATTGCGAAGCCATGCATGAAAAGTGGAGTCATGCCTGAAAGAGGATCTTCTTCCCACCACCATTAAAAACATTTATTTCCTTTCCCCCATCCCCACTTTAGGGGAAGGGGCTGTAGTTCGAGGGCAGCGCATCTCTTCCGCAGGCAGGAAGCCCCAGATTCAGTCCCCAGGCAGGGCTGAGAAACCACGTCTGAAAACCCGGAAGAGCAATTGCTGCCGGTCCGTGTGGACAATAGTAGCCCAGGTGGAGCAAGGGTATGACTGTATAGGCAGCTGACTGCGCTTGGAGCCCCCAGTTCTGCAGCAGCAGTTGCTGGTGGTGAGAAATCAATGACACTTTAGGGCCAATGGTTCTCCTCTACCCATCCTTAAAGTCTTCCCTCCTCCATCTCTCCCAACACCTTGGTTCCTTCCTAGGGCTGGTCTGCTATACAGAGAGACTGCGCCCTCCTTGGGGGCTTTCCTCCTGAACCCCCCCCAGCCTGGGAAGGCATTGAAGAATAAAAGGGCACATGCCACGTAGTGTTGAAATGAGTTTCCTTTTTTTTTTTAAAGAATATTTATTCCAGTTTTAAAGTTACAAAAAATATAGAAAAAACAAACCACACACATCTTACAAAAAACAGACAGTAAAAAAGAAATAAGAAAAAACAAAAAATCACAGTAAAAAATAACAAAAATCAAATTAGACCTTTGCAGCCTTTTTCCCTTTTACTTATTTCCATGACTTCCTCTCACCTCCCTGCTTTGTATTCTAGTTTAAATCGTATCTCCAGCAAATCCTTCTAACCTTCTTTTCTTTTACTTATTTTAACATTCGAAAGTATTTAATTCTCCTCTATCCTCATTTTACACTTCATATTTACTTATTCCATTATACCATGTCTGCCAATACGGTCTAATATTCTTTTCCAACCTTTTTCTAACATTCTTTTATATTACAGTGTTTCTGAAGATATATTTTAAATTTTTTCCAAGTTGAAATGAGTTTCCAGCTGACCCTGCCCTCCCCCCCTCTTTCCCCAAAACATGAATGTCTCCCTCCTCCTCTTCCCAGAGCCATCCTGCCTCCTTTCCTTTGGGGGGGGGTTTCCTAGTCCACCCTAAAACTGCCTCTTCCCCGCCTGCTCTCCTCCTGGGGCGCCCCTGCACCCCTTAAAGCCTTTTGCACTCATCGCAGCTCTTGGGGGACTGAATTGGGGGGGCAACCCCACGCATGCGCCCTCCCACCGCTGCCCCGTTGCAAAACTGCCCTCTCCCGGAGGGCTTCTCTCCTGCGAAGCAGCTGCTCTGGCGCGGGAGCGCCCCCCCCAAAAAAAAATCTCCCTCTTTTTCCTACCTTGCAAAAGGCACAGTCTTCCGTGCTACGAAATCTCCTCCCTCGCAGTTGTTCAAATGCGACAAACGGAGGAGGAAGTGACGCTTTCCCTCTCCTCCCCCAGGAAGTCCTCTGTCATAATATAATCGCTGCTTTTAACCCGTGAAGAGCCAGCTCCTCTCCCACCCCCCACCCAAACTGCATGGTGCTGGAGACATTGCGGATTCCGCCTATGGGAACCCACAGCGCCCGCTCCTTGCCAGAGCCCCTTGGAGCGGGGCCCGCTCTCCTTTTCTTCCTGCATTTTCAGGGCGGTGGGATTTGCATTCTCCTAAGGCTGTTTTTGCAATAACAAAACCATAGTGCCGGGAAAAAAGCATGTCAAAGCCATGCCCACCTGAAATATACTCAGAGTCGCAAAGTGATTTCATGCTCTTTATTCAGCTCATAGTGGTGAGGAGGAAGGAATGAATGTCCCCTCAAAGTATCTGCTTTATATACATTATTTACACAATGGGCTGCTCATGACTGGCTAATTCTGGAATTCTACTGTAAGCCAATCAGGTTGTGGATTCACTTATATCTGGAGCATGATTGGGTGGTTCCTGCCAACCAATCATACTGCTGCATTGTTCTAGGACCAATCAGACTGCTGCATTCTGAATCCTATTGTTCTAGGACCAATCAGACTGCTGCATTTTGGATCCTATTCAACTCAGTACATAACACCACCTCACAAGGTTACTGAGAAGATATAAAAGGCGAGAAGGGCGCAGAAAAACACTATAAGGATGTGCAGTTTTGCTCACAGCTTAACCCACATCACAAGATTGTTGTTGTTGCAAAGGTAAAAGGCGAGAAGAGAAGCCAGCAAGAAGCGGCTGGTGCAAATACTATTTCATTTCAGCTTCACAGACCCAGCAGAGACACAAAACAGGTGCGACGCTCACCCTGCTCCATCACCATCGCTTAACTGCAAAATTGCACAGTCCTGATCTTTTACAGAGGGAAGAAAACACTGAAAAAGTAAAAATATATATGTTAAGTTGGGGGCGAACATATCAGACGACACAGCGATTCTTCCAAAGCAGCTCTTTATTTGTAAGCTGGAACAGAACTGATCTGAGGAGCTCAGTCAGCCTGCTTATATAGAGCTCCAGAACAATTGTAACTGTTGCAACTTTCTAAAACTATCCAATCCCTGAATGTCACTTTCGATCCTTCATTTGCATACAAACTATCCAATCACTGAACGTCACTTTCAATCCTTCATTTGCATAACTATCTACAGTATCCCCCTGCTGGCCCAGGGTGAGAACTTCAGTACATAACAATATACAACTGACTTGCAGGCAAAGAAGGCAGAGAGTTTTAAAGCTATTTTTCACAGGGCAGAGTGCTTTCCCAGGGGTTGGTCCCGACCATATGTGATTTCGACTTTACACACTATCACCAACATGTAACCCCTGCAAACGTTGTGTGTCAAACTCTGCACCCCACACAATAGTTTATTGTCACAATTCTCAGCACCCTTAACCAGCAAAACAAGCTCCCAGAAATCTTAGGTGGTTTCATGGGGCTTTGGATATGTGGAGTGAATGTGGCCTAACAGATTTGTGCTTTGTGTGTGTGTGTGTCTCCCATCACATGGCCTCCAAACACAAGTTGGAAAGAGGCACACATTGATCAAAATGGTGCTGCATAAAATCACAGGTGCAGCCAGCTCTATATTCACAACCCTATTCTAAAGAGTTTCTATATGAAGTGCGGGGGCGGGGAAAAACAAGCCCTTGAAGAGTGGAGTAGCCACATTCAGTTCAAAGGTCACCAGGAAATGGTCCGTCTACGAGGAAAGACCCACAATGGACCCCCGGTCCCAAGCAACACAATATTACCAATCTGCTTTGTGTCAAAAACCAGGCTGAGCCCGTGATGTACCGAGATCGCCCCACGGTTGCCATGCATGACCAACTCAACACCTGACCTTGCTTCTCCTGGCTCCTTCTGGTTGTCCTTTGCTTGAAACGTGTCGGTTGCTGTAGGAAGAGCTGGCTGAAGACGCTTCCCCAATGGCCTTGGAAGGCTAAACTAAGGTTTTCTTAATGAGCCAAGGTGCAATACAAGCAATGGTGTGAGTTTTGCTTCTGGCTGGGAGGGAGATGCTGTAAAGATGGGTGCCATGGTGAACTTTTTACTGTGGTTTATTTCTATAGATCACGGCATTGGGACAGTTGACATAATTTTATTTATTGAATTTATATACCACCCTATACCCGGGGTTCTGAGGGCGGTTCTGGGGGCCTCAGGGCAGTGAATTTATATAGAATTTGATATAAAAAGAGATCCCCAAGGTGACCTATTTTGACCCTGATGTCAGTTCTTAGCTTAAATTATTATTATTATTATTATTATTAAACGTGTCCTGGAAGTTACGAAGAAGAGAAGAGTTTGGACTTTATATGTGGAGGAGAATCTCTCAGAGAGGAACTGCTATGAGGCCCAAACACAGCATACTAGCTCTTAAGGTTAGCCCTTAAGGCACCAGGTGAGCAAAACCTCCCTTCTTTTAATTATTTTAGAGGCTGGAACTAATTACTTTTTTTTTTAAAGAATATTTATTCCAGTTTTAAAGTTACAAAAAATATAGAAAAAACAAACCACACACATCTTACAAAAAACAGACAATAAGAAAGAAATAAGAAAAAACAAAAAATCACAGTAAAAAAATAACAAAAATCAAATTAGACCTTTACAACCTTTTTCCCTTTTACTTATTTCCATGACTTCCTCTCACCTCCCTGCTTTGTATTCTAGTTTAAATCGTATCTCCAGCAAATCCTTCTAACCTTCTTTTCTTTTACTTATTTTAACATTCGAAAGTATTTAATTCTCCTCTATCCTCATTTTACACTTCATATTTACTTATTCCATTGTACCATGTCTGCCAATACGGTCTAATATTCTTTTCCAACCTTTTTCTAACATTCTTTTATATTACAGTGTTTCTGAAGATATATTTTAAATTTTTTCCAGTCTTCTTCCATCAACCCTTCTTCCTGATCTCGGATTCTGCCGGTCATCTCAGCCAGTTCCATATAGTCCATCACTTTCATCTGCCATTCTTCTCGGGTAGGCAATTCTTGTGTCTTCCAATATTTCCCAATAAGTATTCTTGCCGCTGCTGTCGCATACATAAAAAAATTTCTATCTTCCCTTCGCACCAATTGGCCGACCATGCCCAAGAGGAAGGCCTCTGGTTTCTTCACAAAAGTGTATTTCAATACCTTTTTTAGTTCATTATATATCATTTCCCAGAAGGCCTTGATCTTTGGGCACGTCCACCAAAGGTGGAAAAAGGTTCCTTCATTTTCTTTACATTTCCAACATTTATTATCGGGCAAATGATAAATTTTGGCTAGCTTGACTGGGGTTAAGTACCACCTATAAATCATTTTCATTATATTTTCTCTTAATGCATTGCAAGCCGTAAACTTCATACCTGTGGTCCATAACCGTTCCCAGTCAGCAAACATAATATTATGCCCAACATCTTGTGCCCATTTAATCATAGCAGACTTAACCATTT